GCTTTTGGTGCTTCCCTACACATGTATTGAATAGCATCCTGATCACCTAGATAAAATTAACACACAGCTCTGAAGATACAAGTAGAAGAGAACACATTGCAGCCTTCACAAGTTATAATAAGAAATTATGTCACTTTATTACTTTAATGTTTCAATAAGTCGCTGCACACTACAAATAAACATTTAGAAGTGAAATGAATTTAATTCTAAAAATCATCATAACATTTAGAAGTGAAATGAATTTAATTCTAAAAATCATCATAACATTTAGAAGTGAAATGAATTTAATTCTAAAAATCATCATACCTAGCCAATCGCTTCCTTTAACTGTATCATACATGTGCCACCTCCAATCATCCTCAGTCATGTTTCCTAATGCAGCATTTATACCACCCTACAGAGGATTTTCTTCAGTTTGAGATTGAAAATAAAATATCTGTCTCACGATTGAGACCAGAAAACGACCTCCAGAAGCTAGAACCAAGGTTGTCAAATGTACCATAGGAAGAACATCTAATCAAATTAATGTGAAATAGTATCCTTTATTATTTCTCTATACAAACCATTTCATTGGTCAATGAAAGGAATGAAACATTATAGAATATGGAGAAAGGTTTTGATTATTTTATTCATGAAATAGGAGGCAACAAAGAAAACAAACAAACCCAAATGTAATGAAGGTGGAGAACAAAATTTTGACAATCTAAATTTAAAATAAAATGAAGATATATAGTATAATAATAAGTAATTAAGTAGTTAAAAGAAAAAATCTCTACCCCATAAAAAAATTAGGAAAATGCTTTCTTCCCTTCTGAATTTCCCATCTACTGTGACTTTCGTTCATTGGGTGCCCATGAATTAGCCGCCCCAAAAACTAATTAGAAAAGGATTTAGTTACCAATTGGATAATGTCATTTCATGTCATGAGGGATAGATTGGAAGAGACTGGAGGGGTATGTAGCATTAATCAAAAAAATATACATGTGCAATGAGCTAGAAATAAAGTACCTGAGCTGCAACAGTGTGAGAACGAGTAGGAAATAGCTTGGTGATGCATGCTGTATTGAATCCATGCTCAGACAACCCTATTGCCGCCCTAAGCCCTGCACCTCCTGCACCTACCACCACAGCATCATATGTGTGATCAACCACTGTATACGAAGACCCGCCCACATTCTGCTAAAACAACAAAAAATAACTCAAAATCAACGAGATACAGGAGACAAAAATAGTATCATCGCCGCCATTAAATAATCAAAACCAAAATCGAGAGAAAAGACTACTGACCGCGCTTACTGGAAAACAAAATTAAGCTAACTTTAAGAGAAATTAATCAAACAACACCTAGGTTACGAGCTCAGAGCCTCGGAGTAATAGAATGAGAGACAAATGTAAGAGATTTAATATAAAACTTGCCAAAGCAATAAAATTAAAGCGACTTCTATAAGCACTGAGCTAGAAATATCCGTTTGCATAAAAACACACAGATAACGAGAGAGAGAGAGAGAAATCGTACAGTTTGAGATGAGAAGAGTCGCCGGAAATGAGAACGGCCGGCGATTGATCTGTCGGATGGAATGCGCAGGCCACGCGACACACAGCGCCACATCTCTTGGAGATTCTGGTTATTGGGCTTGCAATGCTAACTATGGAGATCGAAGAGAGCCGGAGAAGGGGATGTGAAACACAAATAAATAAATATAAATATACAAACAGTAAAGTAGAGATTCTGCTGGGAGTTTGGAAAATACTGTTCTCCGGTGTCCGAAATAGGGCCGAAATATAGGGGCTTATAAATTTTGTAATTTGTGAAAAATAGTTAATTACTGAAATGGTCAATTAACTATACAGAAATTATCAATTCGGTTTTTGACTTTTTTTTTGTCTAACTAAAAAAAAATTTAATTAATTTGGTCTGTTTGTTTACCGATCAGACGTCTGTTTACTCGATATTAAATTGGTAATTTTGTTATAGTCAGAGGATTATTACGATAATTAATTCTTCAGTTTAATAATAGAGGAAATGATGTATGTGATGACTAAAATGGTCCTAAACTATAGCAAAATTATCAATTTTGTGCCGCGTAAAGCCGTAAACAGATGTTGACGGCTAAACAAACAGAATACCAAATTTATTAAAAAATTAAAATTAAGAGACTTAATTAAATAAAAAACATAATCAATAATCAAATTAGTAATTTCCCTATAGTAAAACAACCATTTCGATAATTAACTCTACTGAAAATGCCTTTTTTAGCATAGTTAAGAAGGGCCTACTTTAATGCATCAAAACTCTTTTAAGAAAAATCTGGAGGATTTTCTAATCATCTTTTACGAACATAATCTGGAGGATTTTCTAATCATTTTCCAAACTAAATAGACCATATTCATATATAAAAACTATTTTTTTTCTCAATTTACTTAAATAAACCTTAATTGTCACTATTAATTACGAAGTAGAGTTAATTCCACTAGAGGGCATTTGTTTTTTTGACAAGAGTAAATACCGAAAATGGTCCATCGACTATAGCTAAATTCACAAATTGGTTCTCGACTTTCAATTTCAATCAATTAAGTCCTTAACTTTGCAATTTTGACACGATTTGGTCCTCCATCTATTTGACCGTTTGTTGACCGTGATCGACGATCTCCAGAAGAACCTTCAGCTCTCGTCGGAGCATGTGGAGGCCTCCAGGATGACGTTGCATCGGTTCGGAAACACGTCGTCTTCTTCGCTCTGGTTCGAACTCAACTACATTGAATCCAAAGGGAGGATGAAGAAAGGCGACCGGATTTGGTAGATTGCTTTCGGCGGTGGATTCAAATGTAACAGTGCAGTCTGGAAATGCAACCGGAACCTTAAAAAATCGACGATGGACCATGAAATTATATATATATCCTCAAAAATCACAGTCAACAAACGGACAAATAGACAGAGGACCAAATTGTGTTAAAATTACAAAGTTAAGGACTTAATTGGTTGAAATTGAAAGTTGATGACCAATTTGTGAATTTAGCTATAGTCGAGGGACCATTTTGGGTATTTACTCTTTTGACGATTTTAAATTTAGTCTCAGACTATCATTTTTGCCATAGACTAATATTTTTTTAGATAGTTTTAGCCCTTTCATGACTTTTCCTATTTGTAGTAAGGACATTTTTGTTTTTCATATTTTTCTTTTGTTATTTTTTCGATTTCAACCGATTTAATTAGTTTAAAGCTTTAGGTAACCTATAATTGTTAGTAACCCTATTTTTCAACCAATTTTTAGTAAAGTCCTAAAAAAAATTTGGACCGGCTCTAGACATGCCTCATGCTTTTTTGGAATAAGTTACATCGATATAAACTAGATAGACTTGAAGGGCATGCACTCATGCCCAACAATGAAAACACCATCGAACAAACGACCCAAGCGGAAGGTACAAACAATGGATGCCCTTCCGGCTTCAACCACTGCAAATTGATAGAGAAAATGGCATTATTTGCCTATTTCCGATGAGTAGTTATGTTGTGCATCCGTATGCATCATGCATGGTGTATATGGATACAAAAATGACGTCGTTTTATTAAAAACGCGCGTCTTCCCTTAAAAAAAAAGTCAGTTTCGATTTCCAACAACAACTTTATGTTGTTCATTCATTCTAAAATTTTAGTTCATAGATTATGGAATTTTAGTTCATTGATTTTGGAATTATAGTTCATCGATTCCGGAATTGTAATTTATCGATTCTGAAATTTTAGTTCATAGATTCTGGAATTTTAGTTCATTCATTATGAAATTTTTAGTTCATAGATTAGATTCTGGAATTTTAGTTCATCGATTATGGAATTATAGTTCATCGATTCTGGAATTTTAGTTCATATGTTGTTGCTGGGAATCAAACCTGATTTTTTTTAAGGGGAGACGCGCGTTTTTAATAAAACGACGTCGTTTTTGCATCCGTATGCACCATGGTGCATACGGATGCACAGCATAATTTGTCATTTCCGACGGGGTAAAAATTTGCCCATGCCAACTTTAAAAAATAAAAATAAAAATTACAAGGAGTTATATTGATCTTCATTTATAAGAAGTATAATTAATTAAATATCAACAAATGAATATGTGAAATATCAATTCAATACCATTAATTAAATGTTTATACAACGTGAGATGCTATTCACTCAAATTTATTAAAGTACAATATTGTTTATTAATAGAAGACACTTCCCTTTTGTCTAATCTAACCTTTCAAATTTATTTTAGAGGGTGTTTGATAGCCATAAAAGTTTGAACTTTCTTGAGAATTTAAAAAGTGAGAGAATTATTCTAGTATTTAGTCAATTATTTGTTATGTTTTTTTTTTAATTGTTTGTATATAATAAGGATATATTAGAAATTTAAAAAAATTCTAGAAAAATTTGAACGTACCAAATTAATTAATTTATAGATAATTTAATAGTTATGTTTCAAGGTAACACTAAAATATTAATTATTTTTTTTGTAAAGTTATTCTCATCAAACATGATCTTTTAAACCATTTTCTCATGAATTTAATTAATGGCAAAGTAGTAAATGGCCTCTTAGTGTTCTACATATATTTTATGTAAGATATAAAATATTTTTCTATTATATTGAGGCATGTATTTAGTTATTTGTCCTACTTACTATTATACTAAGGTATGTAAGAAAGTATATTTTTAATATACTAAAAGTATATTATTTGTGTACTGAATGTACATTATATAAAATAATGTACTTTTAGTATTCAAATAATGTACATCCCCTGAATACAAAGTACATTTTTAATATACTAAATGCACATTATTTTATACTATACAAAATATGGTCCACACAACTTGTGTGGACCATGGTCCACGCAATAACGATTGTTATTTCTCTAGCATGAAGTAGCTCTCTCATTTAGGAGGTCATGCGTTCGAGCCTCACTCGGAACGAGTAGGTTGAGAAAATAGCTATGAACAGAAACTACATTGTAACAGAAACGCTATAACTTGAAATATTATAATATTAAAACAATTATGATGTGTCACGATATTTTACTTCTGGCAGCTAAGAGGAATAAATCCATAGGCAAAGAAGAAAAACTTCCATTGTGAAGTTGAGAAGTGGAGGTAAAATTACAGAGTGCTAGTGTTTCTTCTTTGAGGGAGCAATTGCTTGCATACTTACAGCACCAATCACAGTGTAGTGGGCAACGATGAACTTGGATTATTGGCGTGTCAATTTATATATAAGATGTGATGTGATATGAATATCTCAGCTCTTCAGGAATTTCTTACAGTAAATTAGACATGTGGAATTGCAAATTTCCCAACTCGCGGAGATAGTATCGACTGCGGATCCACTATAGTCAGTATCTTCGGTATAGACAACCCACCGGAGATCACGATTTCTGCATCATTTCACAACTGCATTATATCATTTTTTGTGTAATAGAGCTTCAAGCTCACTCAGGTTTTAGCGTGTCAGTAGTTCAGTAGGTAGTATTTGGAGAAAGAGACTAAAGACAGTCACAGCCAATGAATTACGTGATTTACATGCTCGGTTTTAGTTGTTTAGTGTTTACCTATGCCTTCTCGAACGGATAGACTTGGCCTCATGATGTCCTTGGAGTTGACAAGGTAGATATCGCCGAGGTAGAGGTGATTGGTTGGGAGATAAACACAGCAGAGCTCCTCTGGGCCTGAACTCTTCTGGAGAACCAGAGTTGAGGTGATGAAGCCCAGTGCATATTCTCCCACCCGGGGATGCTTTATTATTGCCACTTCTTTGAAGGCTTGAGAATTGTGATCTGGGAAAGCCATTTTCTGCACTCTGTTTAATCTATTGAACCCTCTCGGAATAAAGCAGAATCGTAAGTTTACCTGTTGAAATTGCTGCGCTGATTTGTTTGGAAGCGGAGTAGACATAGCCCATCAGAGGCATCTTTTTGATCAGCCATTCTCCTAAACCAAGTACAGAAGCACCTAACCATGAGGAGATGAACACCCCAACCAGAAAGATGAAACTGATGGAGGTCACAAATCCAAGACCTGTGAAATTGTCAAAAAATTTCAAGTTTAAAAGTTGATACACCTAAAGGAGAGCAACTCTGTGTAAGGTATCCACACTCTTCCTCAATCAGCTTCAAATCATATAAACCTCCTAATATTATCATATTATGTCTGTGATTTAGCAGAGCCAGACTGTATTGTGGATGGGAAATTAAATATACAAGTTTCCAAAATGGTATGTATCACTTGAATTACAACTTTACATGTCAGTTAAAGAACTAGAGAAAGAACCTGAGTTTTAGAAAACAAATTGATAGCATAATCTCACCACCCCCATCCCTGTTGATTAACCATGTCATTCCAAACAACAAACACCTGGTAATGCTTTTGTGGGCATACTTATAACAATACCAACTATTGAAATCACGCAAACAAATATGTATGGGGTAGTTTCTAATACATTTTAATTTATTCTCCTACTCCAGTGCTTTTCAAAATTCTCTTTTACCGGTTACAACATTTTTATAACATATTAACATGAACTAAAAATTTCCAGCTAAGGCACGTATGGTTGCATTCTGCCGATTCAACAGACAAAGGTGTGAACCCCTATGGATTAGTGTAGTGATCAAGGTTCAACTGTAAAACTGGTGCTCCTGACATCAAAATCAGTTTTCTAATTCCTATGGATCAAGCTTATGTTTCCCCATAAAACAAGCATATGAAGTGCATTAATGATGGCCATGCACTTAGGTAAGTATCGTCATTAACTCTTTGCTTATATCTTACTCCTTGTTTAAGCTACACGGAAGGTAATGCTTTTCAGTTTCGCTCACCATTGTAATGTTCTACAAAATCATGGTATTCTAGTTTTTAATAGACTTTTTGTATATAGGTATTGCAAAAAATGAATAGAATACACAAAACAGCCTCTTCCTGAACTCAATCAAAATAATGCTAATACTATGGAAGCTGATTTTTTTAATGTTTTACTCAGAACAGGATAAAGCTAAATGGTTTCGCAATACAGTAAAAGAAGATATGTAATGCTGGTACACATATAAAGGAAATAGTCTTGCTGAAATACACAAAACACAAACTAACCACTATACTTACCGAATACATTTATTCCCAGGTGAGTATATATTGGAGAAAAGAAGCCATCCACAAAACAAATGAACCACCATGTTATGTAAAAGGTCATAGCTATGGGAAATAAGATGACACTGCAAAAAAATAAAAAAAGAGAAGAGGTTAAAGCCCTGTAAGTACTATAAAGAAACAAAAATATATACATGAAATGATGATATTGTCAAATACAGAGTAAAGAGCATTGTAAAAGTAAAAGAAGTAATTTTAGCATGCTTAGGGCTTCACAACTTACAGTACCCCAGTTATGGACTACATTCATGAGTTTGATGACAAATATTCTGTAATATCCTATCAAAATCATCTAAAGTTTTACAATTAAGTTGAAAGAACAAGAAAAAATGCAAAAGATCAAAACTCATGCACAAACTGAAAGAAGTACTTGGATTGGTTTGTGGGCAGCTCAAGCCATTTTGGTTTTCAATTGAAAGAAGAGAATAATTAGGTCATTGTATTTGCGAACTACTATGTAGTGTGATGACACCTCTATTAGCATTTCAAATGGTTGGTCACAAGATCAAACCCCAGGTGGTGGGGACATTGATTCTTTGGGCTGAAACAGATACTACCGTGTAAATAAATCATCATATTCAGTTTTCATTGGCTTGATACCAGTAAATTATGCTAAAATTCTACTTTAATTTGGACAAACAACTAGAAATTCCATGCATACTCAAGGAGGCAGATATACAGCAGGCAGCTCAGGTTCTAAAAAGTTTACCCCTAGGATAAGAAAATATTCCCATCTCCCAAGTATCATGGCTATACGAGCTCCAGTAAACATGCAGTTCAAAAATGAAAAGCATCTAGTTTAAATGTGATCAAGAGTAAGACACAGAATATTTAGTTCAAATTCAATTCAAAAGAGAGACCATTTAGTTCAAGCTCAATAAATATCCACACATGGAATGCTCTTTATACAAGGTGTTCATTCTAATGAAAGATGAAGAAAACAAAGAATACTGACCATCCAGTAATGAACTTTTTCCAAGCCCAGCTGCGAATCACCTTGCTTATCGCCTGCAAAAATTAGAAATTAAGAAAACCGTGAATTTAAAACCCTGGTTACAGAGTCTTAGTGTTTTACCCTGTTTGGCTAACATAATCAAAAAATTCCAAACATTTCGTGTGTGGAAGGAGAGGCAATCAATCAATAGGTTGTTTGAAATTTGAAATGATGAGACATTTGCATTGATATGTGATGTGTGTGAGAATGTGAGAATGTGAGAGGGAGAGACCTCTTTGCCGGTGGAGTAAGAGGAAGGAGGAGTCGGGGAATCTTCAGGGGAATAAGAATTGGAGCACGCCCCGTTCTCCAAGTCACCGCCGCCGGCCACCGGAATCAGCCGTTCCAGATCCTTATCCTTCTCCTTCTCCTTCTCCTTATCCTTCTCCGATCGGGTTCCCATTTCTATCTCTCTGCTCTTCCCGCGAGTGAATGATAAACTAAAACCTCTGCCAAACGGAATTCCGGACGTTAGCGACGTATTCCTATTTACTACGTAGATTTCTTGTCATTCATCTACCACCTCTGTCCTCCCCAAGTCACCAAATAATGAGTCATACTTGTGTATGATCGTCTAAGAATTTTTATTCCTCAAATATGAAAATGCAATAAATAAAGTATATGTAAGGACAAATGTAATATTAAAAGGATTGAATGTAATATGTAAAGGATCGAATCCCGATAATGCGATATTGATTCTTTAAACTGTAAAAGTATAGAACAGATAGTACCTTATAATACAGTCAATAGTATTTGAAAAAATTAAAAAAATAAAGTATATGTAAGGACAAATGTAATATTAAAACGATTGAATGTAATATGTAAATGATCGAATCTCGGTAATGGGATATTGACTTTTTAGGTTGTAATAGATAAATAAAGTATAGAACGGATACTACATTATAATAGCGTCAATAGTATTCAAAAAAATTAAATAAATAAAGTATATGTAAGGACAAATGTAATATTAAAAGTATTACATTTTCCCTTTAGTGTTGACAAGTGTTTGTTACTTATAAGGGAAAATATAATATTTTTGCGAAAAAATATAATACTTTTAAATCAAAATATAAAAGTACTACATTTTTTCGTATAAGTAATAAACATTTTATTTCTTATTAGCATAACATTTTTCAGTATTAGTATTACATTTGATCTTGACCCGACCCGCCGCACAGATTACACAAGCTTTTGTCCCAAGGATCTGTGAGTCACACAGCGTTTGGTTGGTGCTTTTGTAGTATACTATTAAATTTGATGGATCACACTTGTGTGAAACGGGTCGATCAATATGAAATGGTTATGCTTATACTAAAAATATAATACTAATAAAAAATAAAGTATTTGTTACTAATAAAATATAAAGTATTAGTATTACAGTTGATCTTGACCCGACCCACCGCACAGATTACATAAGTTTTTGTCTCAAGGGTCTGTGAGTCACATGGCGTTTGGTTGGTGCTTTTGTAGCATATTATAAAATTGGAATAAGGGTCAAATAGGCCATCGAACTGCACAAGATAATGCAATTAGACCACTGAACCTAAAAAATCAACAATCGGGTCCCTAAACTAATAAATTTCAAACAAATCTTCCAATTTGTAGGTTTCCAACAGGTCATACTCCCAAATTAATTATTTTTTAAAAAATAAAATTTAAAAATTAATTATTTAAGTAATTAAAAAAAAAAAAAAACAGAAACGGCCGGAGACGAAGAAACTTCTTCGTCTCCGGCCGTTTCTGTTTTTTTTTTTTTAATAATTAATTTTTAAATTTTATTTTTAAAAAAATAATTAATTTGGTTGTTGACATGTTAGAAACCTTCAAATTGGATGAATTGTTAGGAATTGATTAGTGTAGGGACTCAATTGTTGGTTTTTTGGGTTCAGTGGCCTAATTGTATTATTAGGTGCAGTTCAATGGCCTATTTGACCCTTATTCCTATAAAATTTGATGGATCACACTTGTGTGAAACGGGTCGATCAATATGAAATGGTTATGCTTATACTAAAAATATAATATTAATAAAAAAATAAAGTATTTGTTACTTATAAGGGGAAGTGTAATACTTTTGATTAAAATATGTAATACTTTTTAAAGTATTACATTTTTCCTCAAAAATATTACACTTCCCCTAAGTAATGTTTACAAGTGTTTGTTACTTATAAATAAAAATGCAATGCTTATGAAGAACAATGTAATATTTTAAAATTATAATGTAAAAGTATTATATTTTTCCTCAAAAGTATTACATTTTTCTTTATAAGCAAATAATCACTTTATTTTTAATTAGTATTACATTTTTCAATATAAATATTACATTTTTATTTGACCAACTCACAGATAAGGATCCATGAAACAGTCTCACAGAAGTGTTTGCCAAATTTGATACATTGTTTTCCTACTTTAGTTATTTTTATATTTGATTCAATTTTTTTAGTAATTATAAGACGTATTGCATTTCTCCTCCCCTAAACTAGAAAAAAAAAAAAAAAAAAAGAAGGAATAAGGTTCAAATTGGTCACTAAACGTAATCTGAAAATGCAATTAGGTCATTGAACGAAAAAAAGTGCAATTAGATCATTGAACACTTCAAAAATGTGCAATTAGACCACTGAATACTCCAAATGTATGCAATTTCACCGAATAACATGTTACCATCAAATTTAGCAGGTTACAGGCTTACGTGGCAGCTGAGTAACATTTTTAATAATTTTTAATAAATTATGTATCTTATGAGTGAATTATGTATCTGGAACAAATTAGTAGTTGTGTCTTATGTTATAAATTTTTGCGTCTTATGTTGTAAAAATTTGTGCCTATGAACACAAATCATGTACCTAAATCAGATTTGAAAAATAAGTAAATATATAACATGTGTATGTGTCTTGTGTTATGATTTTTTGTATCTTATGTTATGAAATTTTGTATCTTACAAGTATGAATTCTTTACCTCGTATTTTCAATCCAATTGGATTCATATTGCTATGCTATGTGTCTTTTATTGTGATTTTTTGTGTTTTATATTGCAAAATTTTATATCTTACGAGTATGAATTATGTACCTCATTGTTTCAATCCATGGTCCATAATGTTGAACCATGATGCATGATATAAATTGCCAAGGAATAATAATTGATTAATCATGATTTTAATTGTTAAATACAATTTTTCTCTTTAAAAAATGTTAAACATAGTTGCCCAACTCGTGGGCTAGCCCATGGAGCACACCAATTCGCATGAAGTGGGCTAGGGTAACTTGAAACTTAGCTAACGGGCCAGCCCACAGAGTCTTCCAAAATTTAAACCCACAATAGTTGGGCAAATTATGCTGTGGAACCGTGTCTTCCTTACAAGGTGGATATGGTTTCAAAACTGTTTATAATTATGAATATATAGTTCAAAAAGTATGAATATAGAGTTCTATGATTATGAATATAGAGTTATTGATGGATTTAATTCACCCGGGATAGCCCGAATTATTAAACCCGGATAAGAATACGTACGAAATAAATAATATAACGCAGAGATATCGTAAGGCCGCAGGGACCGTATATTGTATTAATTGTCGCTAATAAGCTATTACAAGACTTGATTAGGACAATAATGCTAGAAGATAGTAATTCGGAATATGTTGTGTTGTGTCCCTGTTTAGGACAAGAGGGAGGCTTTTTATATCATTCATCCACAGCGATGACGAGATCGAGATCCAACTCTCGCCACACCAACGGTTCCCGCGGCACCCAACTCGTCGCAAACGGGAACGGCCCCAACAAGGCCCCCAGCGTCCAACCGGCCGCCTCCAACAGGTCGGGAGGAGACCTGAGGGCCCAGCTCACCAACCACCGCAGCAGTGGTGCACCACCCCCCGTGGCTCCCGCTGCTACGGCTCCTGCTACCGCTCCAACTCGCGCCCTCATCCAGGAGGGGCTGGCGGTCTTCGAACAAGCCTCCATGGCACTGGCCCGTGTTGCGGCGGGCCTCCGGGCAGAGGAACAAGCCGACCTAGGCGCCACCCAAGGGGGCCTGCCGCCGAGCGCCGCACCGCCTCCACCTCTCTCCAGGGGGCGCAGCGGGCCGAGCGCCGCGCCACCTTCGGCACGGGCCACACAAGGGGAAGTCAACTCCCCCCGCCCGACGGATAGACAAGGAGGAGGGAGCTCCCGCCGAGACCGTCAGCATGGTGATGATGGAAGGGCCCCAACCCAAACCAGGCCCGCCCTGGAACGTTTGGGCGAGCGCGTGTCGGCACGGGACAGGTTGGGTCCGAGACCGGCCGCGAACGACCCACCAGCGGCCGAATCGTGCTCCCGCAGGCCGCCACGACAAGCGTCGGGCACTTGGAGGTCGCCGAGTCGCGGACCCCGAACCTAGCCGCAGCAGGGAGCGGGCTCGCGTAGATCCCCAGACCGTGAGACCCGAGCTCCCCCGCGACGCGGACAGCCCGCCCGGGTAGAGCGAACAGGTGAGACAAATGGCCGAGTCCCGAGCTCCAACCGGGACGAGGTCGAGCAGTTACCGAGAAGGATGGACGAGCTCCAGAAGAAGTTCGATGAAAGGGACGGGTCCTCAGAGTCCAATGACATACTGTCCACCCCGTTCGTGAGTTCTATCATGGAGGAACCCTTGCCCAAGGATTTCCGTTTCCCCACCGTCAAAGCGTACTCGGGGACCACAGACCCGCGGTCGCACCTCACCAGGTACAGGGCCGCCATGATGATTACCGAGGCTACCGACGCCATCCTATGCAGGGGATTCTTTGCCACCCTGGACGGACAGGCACATGACTGGTTCGGGTCCCTCCCAGGGGATCCATCTCCACCTTCAAGGACCTAACCAAGCAGTTCCTGTTCCACTTCGCCACCAGCATACCAAGGAAGAAGCAGATTGTCGACCTGTGCGACCTGAAACAGAAGAGCTCGGAGTCATTAGCCGAGTATCTCAATAAGTGGAAGAAAGAAGTCATGGGAGTCGCCAACTTTGATGGTAAGTCGGCTATACCAATTTTCAGGAACAATGTGAGGTCGGGTGCTTTCCACCAGGATCTCATCCGGTACCCCCCGAAGAACTATGCCGACCTGATGGACAGGGCGGCCAGATATGCTGACGCCGAAGCTGCCGAGAAGAGAAAAAGGGAGCAGGAAGAAGGGAGAGGTAGGAAGGACAAGGCCCCCCAGGAGGAACGCGGCAGGGCATCTCGGCAGCATCGTCGCGACTACGCCGAGGGGCCCAGGCTGAACCCCACACGTTTCCTTACCCCGCTGACGCACCCCGTGAGTGTCATCCTAGCCCACGCGGAGGACCAGGGGATCGTCGAGTTCCCAAATGAGGAGTGCATGAAGATCTCGGCGAAGGGCGACCCCAAGAAGTACTGCCGGTTCCATCGTCAAAAGGGTCACGACACGGATGAGTGCATCCTCATGAAGAAGCAAATTGAGGAGCTCATCCAAATGGGTTACCTGGGCCACTTCATTAAACGGCCCAGCCAACCCCAAGGCCAGGGCCGGGACAATGTATGGAAGAAAGGGAGTGGTGGCTCCGCGCCACCCAACCCGGCACCCCGCAAGAGAGAGCACGACCAAAGCTCTGAAGAGGACGACAAGACGACAGAAGACTCCCAGCCCCCAAAGAAGCGGTCCATTTATGCCATTTTTGGAGGACCCGAGGGTGGCGACACCCAAGCCGAACGGAAGAAGTGGGCGAAGAGTCTATACGTTGGGGAGGTGACACAAGCCCCACGGGAGAAGAAGCTACGAAGGAAACCCATCACCTTCACCGATGACGACCTGCGGGATGGTTCCCTACCACACCGAGATGCCCTGGTGATCAAGTTGGACGTCAACAACGTGGTGGTGCACCGAGTGCTCGTAGACACGGGAAGCTCGGTAAATGTCATGTACTACGACACGTTCATCCAACTCGGCCTCCCAAGGGACCAGCTGGAGCAGGTTAGAACCCCCCTATCCGGGTTCACGGGGGACTCGATCGAAACAGAGAGATCGATTAGCCTGGATGTGGAGATAGGCACCTCACCTCACCTCAAGTAGTGGAGGGTCGAGTTCGTGGTTGTAAAAATCAGCTGCGCCCACAACATGATACTTGGTCGACCTGCCCTGGAGGACCTCAGGTGCGTGATTTCCATGGAGCACCTTTGTCTCAAATTCCCAACGCCGAACGGGGTCGGGACCGCCCGGGGGGACTAGAGAGTGAGTCGTAGCTGTTACCTACGAGCGTGCCGCCAGATGGGCAAGAAGGACCTCCGGGTCCACACCATAGCCGAGAAGGCATTACGAGACGAGACGGGTCGGCCTCGGGCTGAGCCCATAGTCGAGTCGGAGGAAGTCGTCCTGGATCTCAACCGACCCGACCGGGTCGTAAAGGTTGGGGTCGGCCTCCCGGATGAGCTCCGAGCTCGCATCATCGACACGATCCGAAGTTATAAGGAGATCTTCGCATGGGGCCCCGAAGACATGCCAGGCCTCAGCCGCGAGGTGATCACACACAAGCTGGCTGTGGACCCCTCGGTCAAGCCAGTCCAACAGCGGAAGAGATACCTCTCCACAGACAGGAGAGAATTCGTGAAAAAAGAGGTCGACACCCTCTTGGAGATAGGTCACATCAGAGAGGTCATATACCCCACCTGGTTGGCCAATGTGGTCCTCGCCCCGAAGCTGCCCACCTGGAGGATGTGCGTGGACTACACCGACCTCAACAAGGCCTGCCCCATGGACCCCTTCCCGCTTCCAAACATTGACCAGCTGGTGGACGAGACAGCGGGGTGTGCCCTCATGAGCTTCCTGGACGCATTCAGGGGGTACCACCAGATCTTCATGAAGGAGGCCGACGAGGAGAAGACGCCTTTCACCACCCCAGAAGGGGTCTACTGTTACAAGGTCATGGCCTTCGGGTTAAAGAACTCAGGTGCTACCTACACCCGGATGGTAGTCAAGGTGTTCAAACAAGTCCTCGGCCGCAACCTGCAGGCTTATGTCGACGACATGATCGTGAAGAGCACCGAGGCCAATCTGCACACGGACGACCTAGCTGAGGTATTTTCAATTATGCAACGTTTCAATCTGTCTCTTAACCCCAAGAAGTGCACCTTTGGGGTCCACGGGGGGAAGTTCTTGGGGTACATGGTTTTCAAGAAGGGCATAGAGCCCAACCCGGACAAGGTAAAAGCTATCCTGAACATGGAGCCCCCACGGTGTCTCCGGGAAGTCCAGCGCCTCAATGGGCGACTAGCGGCCCTCGGTCGTTTCCTCTCCGAGGTCGGCCGAAAGATCTCTACCATTCTTTGGAGTACTCAAGAAGACCAAGGGGTTCGAGTGGTCTCCGGAGTGCCAAAAGGCTTTCGAGGATCTAAAGACATATCTAATGTCGCTCCCCCCCACTAGCCAAGCCCGTTAAGGGGGAGGTCTTATACTTGTACCTCGGCGTCTCCCAGGCCGCGGTCAGCTCTGTGCTGGTCCGGGACGATGACGGGGTCCAACGGCTCGTGTACTACACGAGCCGAGCTATACGGGAAGCGGAGATCAGGTACACGCCCGTTGAGAAAGCCATATTTGCGGTAGACATCACCACAAAGAAGCTCGGCCACTATTTTCAAGCCCACCCCGTTCACGTCCTTACCAACCAGCCCCTAGATGCGGTGTTGAGGGCCTCGGGGTCGGCCAGCAGGTTGGTCAAGTGGGCCATGCGACTTAGCCAGTATGACATACAATTTCGGACTCGCACGGCCATCAAGGGGCAGGCACTAGCCGACTTCATAGTCGAGTGCACTGCCCGGGAAGCCACCGAGCAGGCCCGAGATGAAAACGAGGAGTGGTGGACTTTGTCCACAGACGGAGCTTCGGGACCAAAAGGTTGCGGGGGTGGGGTCGTCCTCATCACACCCGAGGGGTTCAGAGCCTACTACGGCCTCCGTTTTGCCTTCAAGCTGTCCAACAACGAAGCCGAGTACGAGGCGCTCCTCGGAGGGCTCCGACTGGCACTAAACATGAGGGTCGAGAAGCTCAAGATCCGATGTGACTCTAGGCTGGTAGTGGGCCAAGTCACAAGAGAGTTCGAGGCAAGTGACGAGAGGATGAGGAGGTACCGAGATGTGGTGCTCCAGCTCCTGGGCCAGCTAATAAACTATGAAGTCCTACAGGTACCCCGAGATCAAAACAAGGATGCCGACATGTTGTCCAAACTCAGCCAAGGGGCCCCGGAGCACATCTCAAAAATTGCCCGAGTTGAAGACTTCGAGAGGTCGAGTCTGGAGTTACACCCAGTCCTACCCATACAGAGCCGACCCCCCTGTTGGTTGGACCACCTCAAGGAGTACAAACAGACAGGTACGCTACCTCCTGATGAGGTTGATGCCAAGCTAGTGAAGTGGCGTGCCCCCACATATGTCATCATGGGAGACACGCTCTATAAGAGGTCGTACAACGGCTCCCTACTCCGCTGCTTGTACCCGGACGAAGCCAGGTCGGTCATGGAAGAAATCCACGAAGGGACCTGCTCTGCCCACCAGGGCGCCTTCACTATGGCCCGTCGAGCCATCTTGCAGGGGTACTTTTGGCCGAGAATGGCCAAAGAGTGTGCCGACTACGCAAGGAGTTGTGAGACAACACAACATATTCCTGAATTACTATCTTCTAGCATTATTGTCCTAATCAAGTCTTGTAATAGCTTATTAGCGACAATTAATACAATATACGGTCCCTGCGACCTACGGTCCCTGCGGCCTTACGATATCTCTGCGTTATATTATTTATTTCGTACGTATTCTTATCCGGGTTTAATAATTCGAGCTACCCCGGGTGAATTAAATCCATCAGTTATAAACAAAGTTTTATAATTATGAACATAGAGTTCTGTAATTATATGAATATAAAGTTCAATAATTGTGAATATGAAGTTCAAAAGTTATGAACATAGAGTTCAGTAATTATGAACATAGAATTCTGTAATTGTAAATATAGAGTTCAATAATTGTTAATATGAAGTTCAAAAATTATGAACATAAAATTTTATAATGATGAACATAGAGTTCAATAATTATAACATAGAACCGTATCAAGGTGGACACCGTTCTACGGCTTAAAATTGAGAGTTAACTAGCTTGCTTTGACAATACTAATTGTAGATTATAGGATAGACCCGGGTCCACCTTGTGTTATGGACCCTAGTCTAAAACAACATTCAAATTATGTATATGCAATTAATATATTATGTACTGAATATACATATCAAACTGCATATACATAATATGTTAATTATAATAGATATATAATTCATGATGTACCACGTTCCACAATATAACAATTCCTCTAAAGCTTTTGCAATTCTGAATTGCAAGTCAAATTTGAGTGAGCCATGTTTATATATTTTGAACTTTTTACTTGCTTCTTATTTATAGAAATTGGGTCTACATTTAAAAAGAAATTGATTGAAATTTCTTGGATGTAGAGTGAATAATAATAATAATAAATTGCATAAAATTTAAATTCCATTTTCCTTAATTATTTTTCACGAACCATACAGAGCTATAATTCTTAAATGAATGAATGTAGTTTCTTAACTTCTATTCGTATTGTGAATTTGATCCCTAAATTGTTGATTAGATCCATTAGAAAAAGAGACCAAATTAATAAATAAAAATTCAAGATTGACATTTATTCACTTAAAAATAGAGGGGCCATATTTCAAATTAATAAATAATTAAAGGACAAAAAATGTGATCCCTTTCCTTTTATCTAAATATCAAGAGAATTAACGAGGCATATAATACACACAAACGTGTGAACTATAAATAAAAAAAATACATTTTTAATATATTAAAAGTACATTATTTGTATACATAAAATACATTATTTGAAAGTATATAAGTTTTTATATACTATCAAATAATGTATATTTAATATATAAAAATGTACTTTAGTATATTAAAAATGTATATTGCATTCATGGTCCACACAACTATCGATCCCAAGATGACAAATCTGTCGTCCCCTGTCGTTTACTTTTCAGACAAGAAAATTGCCTAATCAATAGGCAAACATTGCTAGTATGAAGTATCATTAGCAATAAAAACAAACAAGATAGTAATAGAACATTATGAACTAAAATGATTTCATTTGTGTTCACTTTTTCATAGTCATTATCACAACAACAGTTTCAACCACCACCTTATGCTCTCATTTTGCAAATAATACAAAATGTTCATTAATCCAACTACAAAAACACCACCAAAGAGAAAGACAGGAGAGATTCTAAGTGAGATATACCAAGTACTCGATGGCTCAAACGAGCTGAATAGAACCCCTCCAAACATTAAGCCGCCTGACCAGGTGTCCCCTCACTAGATATCACGGAAAAACAAAAAAACAAAATTGCAAAATGTAATCAGTAAAGGCAGAGTATATAAACATTGCTGCATTTATATATTGCATCTTTTTATTCCTATGAGCCAATGATACCTTAATAAGATGAGGTCTTATACGTCCACATATTAATTCAGAGAACAGAATAAGCAATATAGACAATATATTCAACATGACAATCAAAGACCCATAACCTATTCCGAACAAGTAACAAAAATCGACAGGCAAACTACATATTATGTCACAAGTCCAAATGAAAAATTAAAAGCATAACCCTTCAAGTTATATTGCAAGAATCGTTTAACTTTCTGGACAACTTCAACATACAGTATATAACTGTAGATGGTCAGAGAACCAATTTGGGTCATCAAGATGTCAGGCTGATTCGTTAACCCAGTGTAGGACCTAATATGTATTTAAAACCTGACCTAACAGAAAATAATATTATTAGTGTGACTAGGGACCCCTTCAAACAAATAATGACAATAATACTTATCAAACCAAAAAAGAAAAAAAAAAAGTGGCTATAGAACTAATATAAAAGGTAAGCTTGTTGTTCAAGAGAAATTTAAACAACTCAGAACTTGTATTTCATTTCAAGAGAAACCATCTCATTCAACACATATAAACCAACAAATTCTCTTCCCTTACAGTTACCAACAATCTTTACTATCAAAAGATCTTTGAAATAGATACTAGTTAGGAAATAAAGTACTCTCCTTAAAACCACATTCACTTACAAGTTACATGTTTGGTTTGCAAAATAAGCAAGAAATGGAGTGGTATTCTATAGAACAGGTTTATCCCAACATTTGGTTTGTTTTTTGTTCCACGAATAGAATTCAGTGGAATGAGTTATTCCTTATATAATATTGTGAAATTGTTGCTCTGTGTTAGTTTAAAACATCCAGCAAAATGCATTTTCTACAGTAAATATTATATAGTGCGAATCAGATTTAGTATGTTTACTCTAAGAAATAAAAGGTGGTTAATGGTTACATAATAGGTATTTAGGACAAATTTAAGATTACAATTCTAGGAATACCCCTATATTAATTTGCTTGAAACGCTTGTCATGGGCATAAAGCTATTTGAAAATTATGTAAAATAATTACACTTCACACAATGCAGTCGTTATGAGGCAAAAGGAAATGAAGATATTTTTGAGGGCTAGAGAGTCATGCAAAGGAATAATGACACAGTTTTGAACCTCTTTTTCTCTGTAATCATCACTGGGTTCACCTACTTGGTTCTTGTTTTTGTGCGTAATTCTCTTAAAGTCTTAATATATTTACACAGTATATAAAGGCATTAAAGAAAAAAAAAAAAAAGGTTATTCAAAAGTACAAATAATTTAGTACTATTGACTCTGTTACAGATGTAATAGTGCATACATATTTTCTCAACCTATTAAAACATTGAAGCACAAAAAAGTCAATACCCCCACTGGGGTTTGAACCTGTGACATCCCATTTGGGATGTCCATAGTTATGCCGTTTGACCACAAGGTCTTTGGCCATTTCAAAGAGATTGGGAAAAGCATCAAAAAAAAAAAAAAAAAAAAAAAAAAAAAAAGAGGATCTGTCATACCAAATCCACCAAGCTACACTAATTGCACAGAATTGTTCAGACTACAATTGAAAAATTTTAGTGGAACAAACATGTGAATCTCACAACCCAGATCAAACTGAAAACAAATAATTACATCAATTACGAAAACAAATACATCTTCATAAATTTATCATGGATTTGTACCCAGGTGCATAAACTGATTTCAACAAGAAGCAAGATGCAGGACAAAAAAAATGTTTAGTCTTGAAGGTTCCCTCAATGGCATAGGTTTTTAGCTAGATACAAATCAGGCAGCTTAATGTAGACTCTGAGAATCATTAAACAAGGTGCATGCTGTAGGAAAATGAAATACCCTAAACATTCATATACTATGGACGTGCATAGCTCATTCTTATATTGACAATAATTTTATTCTCAAGTACAAGAAGGGGCACGGATTGGTTAAAGATCAAGTGAATCCTAGCTATAAAACTATACAGAGTATATGTAAATGATAAAGCATTAACTCAAAAAATAAGAACAGGATTTAGGCCAGTATGAATAGCTCCTCTAGAAGGATACTATTAAGTATCCAAGAGGAAATGGTTACACCTTTGCCTTAATCTACAATGCACGAATTGGGCCTTAATCACTCAACCTCTATCCCTCATTTATTATCTCATCCCAATGTCTTAAATTTTCTATTCAATAAGTTTATGCCAAAATAAGTGAAACCCAGAATGAATACTGAGAAAGCATACCAAATAGTAATTTAAAAAGCAAATCACCTGCTCAACGATTGAGCCCAAGGAGCAAATTGTTGCCTTTAGGCAAGTACTGAATATTAGGACTCTTGGCCAAGGTGGATGCGATCTCCTTGGAGGCCTCGATCCTCCTGAGCTCTATTAACCCCATGCCAGCTGCCGCAGTAGCATCTGAAATCAACTTGGCAGACTCGCTCTCTCCCTCTGCCCGAACGATAGCAGCCCTACGCTCCTGCTCAGCCTTCATCACAACGAACTTGGAGCGCTCAGCTTCCTGTTGTGCCACCTGTTTCTGCTCCACGGCCTTTGAGAACTCGGGACCATACGACAAGTGGGTTATCGCAACATCATCCAGTTCAATGTTGAAGTCCTTGGCGCGGCGAATCAAGCTCTCCCGAACCAGAGCAGAGACCTGGGGACGCTCAGTGAGTAGCTGGTCCGCGTTGAACTGCGCAACCACTGCTTTCAAAACCTCGTTGCCGATGGACGGGAGGACCTTCTCGTCGTACTCGAGACCTAGGGTTTTGAAAATGTCGGAGAGGCGAGAGACCTGAGGGCGAGAGAGCACCCGGAGAGTGAGGTTCACCATCTGCAAATCCTTTGTCCCGGAGACAGAGGAGAAAGTGTGGGGCCTGGTGCGAATGTCAAAGATGAAAGGCTTCTGAAGCCATGGCACCAGAAAGTGGGTCCCCTCGCCGACGGTCTCGTCGATCACTCCGCGGAACCGATCGAAAAGCACGGCGCGTTGGCCGCCGTCAACAGTGTACATCGAGGAGTTGAGCACCGTCGCGCCGACTCCGAGGCCGAAGGCGGCGCGAGCGATGTTTGTGAGAAATGAAACAGCTTGTTGGCTACCCATGGTCGTTGAGAACGGTAAGGAAAATGGGAGATTTAGTTAGGGTTTTAGGACAACAATTGAGGGAGACGGCGAATCAGGGGTTTATTATATAAATATATAAAAATATATGTAGAAAGGGAACTAAATTTCTCTCCAAGAAATAATTATTCCCAATAAATAAATAAATAAATAATAGTTAATTGCAGTCTGCCCCTAAAATTTGTCTAATTTAGACACATGGCCCCAACTTGAGTCGTCAATGGTGGGTCGAGAGTAGGGATGGCAATTTCAATCCGACCCGTGGATATCCACCCGAATCCACCCCGCATGGATCGGGTTTTTTTGGATGATGGTGGGTGGTGGGTTGGGGTGGGTCTTAAAAAAGCAAACCCGCGGTGGGTCGGGTTGGATTTGGGTTCTATGTACATGACCCGCCTAGAACCCCACCCGATCCACCATGTGTGTGTGTGTATATTATATATATATATATATATATATATATATATATATATATATATATATATATATATATATATATATATATAAAATAGTAAAATAAATACTAGTATGTAGTTATTTATAATAGTTTATATAACTTCGTGTATCTTTTTACTATTTTTTATATCAAAACTACTAAGTTTATTTTTAAAAATTAACAATTTTGTTATTATATTTAAATATTTCCATTATTTATGTTTTAGTATCACTAATGGATTTTATTTTTTTATTATGTGTAAATAATTTAAATATTATTTTTTGAAAAACATAATAAGATAATAAGTGGTGGGTACCCGTAGTGGGCACCCGCACCCAGTGGGGGTGGGGGTGGGTTCTGAAAAAGTCCACCCGATGCGGGTTGGAGGTGGGGGTGGGTGGAGAAAATATAAGATGGGTCGGGTGATGGATGTAGCCCTCCCCAACCCACACCCGACCCATTGACATCCCTAGTCGAGAGGGGCTACATCCATCAATGGACTCACTATATATTTTCTCTACTTACCTCGATCTTTATTGGGTTGACTTTTCCAAAATTTACTCCACTCCATGGGGTTCCCAGTATAGGTGCACACCACTTATTATATTATTATTAGTATTTTCTATGCACAATACGTAAAAATTGATGCTCAATATTAGTATTCTATATTAAATCTTAGATTTATTTAGATTTTAGATATTTATATTAGAGTTAATTCCATTTTTTGTTCTAGATTTATAGGTAGCAATCCATTTTTAGTCCATTTTCTCATAACATTTGTCTTTAGTCATAGTATTATTGTGGCATGACTACTTTTGGTCCTCCATCAACAAAACCGTTTATATTCCATAAAATACAAGGGCATTTACATCTTCAATTATGATTTTTTTCAAAAAGTAATAAAAAAAATTATAACGGATTAACCTGCTTTGTATAAAAAAAAATCAAAATGTCTTTGTGTTTAACTATATTTCAAGGATTTTGTTGACGGATAATAAAAAAATTATCATGTCACAATAATACTCATATCAAATAAAAATTTTCTGAAAAGACTAAAAATGTACCACCACCTATAAATGTAGGACAAAAAATACAATTAACTCTTTATATTATTGTTATTGTTAAATAGTAATAATAATAACAATAATAATAATGTAAACTATTTTTTATTAAATTGATATTGATATTTTAGGAAATTCGAAGTAACTTATATAGTACTCATATTCAATTACTCATTGATATCTATACAAACAAGGGTTGCATAAATTTCGCCACCACCACCATACTACCAACACCACCAATACCCTACCATCTATCACTATCACCACCACCAAGGCACCAACACCACCGTTGTGTGCTGCTGCCACTGCCACCATACCACGGCCACACTTCCACCAACCACTATCACCACCACCATTATTGCCGCCACTACCACCATCACCACACCACTACCACTATTACTTCCATCACTACCACCATCACTTATTATTATTATGAGAAAATTTCAATTTTGGTCCACTGACTATTGGGGTTGTGTTAATTGCAACACTTGACTTTCAAAAATATTAATTAAGTACCTTGACTATGCAATTTTTATCAATTTTGGTCACACCGGCCAAATGTGACCGAAAATTTTAAAATTAACAATTAGTCTTAAATGGGAGGGGCAAAATCGTCATTTCATGTGACTTTCTTCTTCTTCCATTCCTTGCACCGGCAACGCAATTCCGATGACTTCTTTGAGGTGTTCGGATAATAGGGCGGAGAGGCCGAAGTTGGAGATCTCGAGGTTGCCGTCTCCGTCGAGGAGTAGGTTTTGGGGTTTGATGTCGCGGTGGGCGACGTCGTTCTGGTGGCAGAAACTGAGGGCGGAGGTCGTCTTCGTTGCTTCGAATCCCGTCGTCGTCTTCAGCAAGAGTTACTGTCCGTTCTGCGTGGATGTGAAAAAGTTGTTGACTCAGCTCGGTGCCTCCTTCAAGGCCATTGAGTTGGATACTGAAAGTGATGGAAGTGAGATACAATCTGCACTGGCTGAGTGGACTGGACAACGGACTGTGCCGAATGTCTTTATTGGTGGCAAGCACATTGGTGGCTGTGATAAAACAATAGTCGTGAACCAGGAAGGAAAGCTCGTTCCATTGCTAACTGAAGCTGGAGCACTCTCTAAAGCTTCTTAGGTGTGCAATTAAGCTGTTTGGTGAAGAATATGATATATTATTAAATAAAGGGCTGGATACTACCTTGTTAATGCCAGTTATTGATGTCCTATTTTGGTCTTACGGAATTGGGTTAGGAAGAAGTCATCGGAATTGCGTTGCCAGTGCAAGGAATGGAAGAAGAAGAAGAAAGTCACATGAAATGACGATTTTGCCCCTCCCAATTAAGACTAATTGTTAATTTTAAATTTTCCAGTCACATTTGGCCGGTGTGACCAAAATTGATAAAAATTGCATAGTCAAGGTGCTTAATTAATATTTTTGAAAGTCAAGTGTTGCAATTAACACAACCCCAATAGTCAGTGGACCAAAATTGAAACTTTCTCTTCTTCTTCTTCTTCTTCTTCTTATTATTATTATTATTATTATTATTATTATTATTATTATTATTATTATTATTATTATTATTATTATTATTATTATTATTATTATTATTATTGTTATGTTCATTTTTAGAAAAATGAACCAAATAAAAAATATATAATTTCTTAACTTTCGGACAGATAGTTTTTTTTTTTGCTTTCAGCGAAACATTAGAAATTAAAATTAATTTTCAAAAAGTGAATCATTTTCTGAAAATCATTTCTATTTTTTTTTTTCAGATTTCAATTCCTAAATTTAGGGGATTTGCAAGATGATGTGGTATTCTTTGTGATTTTTTTTTAAAAAAATATTTCATTTTTTTAGGGAAATTATTATGTGAACTCCTAAATGCTACTTCTAACTTTTTAAGTTGTAATCGCACTTTCAAATTCTTGATGCATTTTTTTGGGATCACATGATAAAAATAACTTATCATTGTCTGTCAGATTAAAGTAAAAAGGAGATAGTAGAATTTAAAAAGAGTAAATACCCAAAATGGTCACTCGACTATAGATAAATTCACAAATTGGTCCTCAACTTTCAATTTCACCCAATTAAGTCCTTAACTTTGTAATTTTAACAAAATTTGATCCTCTGTCTATTTGACCGTTTGTTGACTGTGATTTTTTAGGATATATATGTAATTTCATGGTCCATCGTCGATTTTTAAGGTTCCGGTTGTATTTCCAGACCGCACTGTTACATTTGAATCCACTGTCGAAAGCAATCTACCAAACCCGGTCACCTTCTTCATCCTCCCTTTGGATTCAATGTAGTTGAATTCGTACCAGAGCGAAGAAGACGACGTGTTTCCGAACCGGTGCAACGTCATCCTGGAGGCCTCCACGTGCTCCGACGAGAGCTGAAGGTTCTTCTGGAGATCGTCGATCACGGTCAACAAACGGTCAATTAGATGGAGGACCAAATCGTGTCAAAATTGCAAAGTTAAGGACTTAATTGGGTGAAATTGAAAGTTGAGGACCAATTTGTGAATTTAGCTATAGTCGAGGGACCATTTTGGGTATTTACTCATTTAAAAATACATATATTAAAACTCTTTCGTACATTAATTGTAAGTTTGCAAATTATAAATGCTATCAATTAGCAGCCTTTTTTTTTTGTACTTTTCTCTTAAAAAAATTATTGATTATTTATGATTTAGGGAAAAGTGCACTTTTCATCCTTAAGTTATAGGATAATTGTAAAATTCGTTCCTAAGTGTATGTCAAATTCACTTTTCGTCCCTAAGTTATCATTGACGTTGCACTTTTCGTCCCTCTACTAATAAAATATTAGGGATGAAATTTACAATTTTAGTATAACTCAATGACGAAAAGTACAATTTTCCCTATAATTTATATTGATTAGTTTTATTATTATTATTATTATTATTATTATTATTTTAATTTTAATGTGATGTGATATGAAACTAAGACCCACTTCTTGATTGAGATCGAGTTGGTTAAATTAGAGATTGTGAAGCAAAGATAATGGAGGTGATGTAATCATTTAGGCTGTATTTGAAAACTCGAAAAATGATTTCTGAAAATTATTTTTCAAATTTTTCATGTTTGAAAGGGGTCGGAAAATTCAGTCAATGGAAAATATTTTTCGTTGACTGGAGAAAACCAAGTCAATTTGGCGAAAAATGTTTGGCGAAAGTCATTTTTCGCCAAATGACCAACAATATTTCCGGCGAAAACCATACTACTGGTTTCGCCGGAAACCTTAAAAAAAAAGGAACAAGAGGAAGGGAAATCAGAGAGAAGTTTTCTCTGGTTTCTTCCGTCTTTTTTTTATTTATTTAATTTTTAACTTTTTAATAATTAATATTATTTGATTTCAAAAAATAATTATTATTATATTTTTTTATTTTAAACAAAATAATTAATTATATAAAATGTTTAATTATACAATTAACATCATTTTTCGAAAAATGAACTAAACACACAAAGACAGTTTTCTACCATGCTCCCAAACACCAGAAAGGAAAATATTTTTCAAAGAATGTCTCATTTCCCAGAACATATTTTCTAGAAGTTATTTTTCTGCTTTACCAATGAACCTTTAGTTAGAATTGTGATGTAAAATTGGTATTTAAAGAAATGAGACATCTTATCACATGAATAAATTACAAAACTAAGCATTGGTAAGGCTCACACTACTATAATTTTGGTCGAATATGTCATTATATTTTACAACAAACATTAATTAAACAGAAGAAAATATATGCAGAATCGACCTGGATAATTTAAGCTTTGGTATGTGTGGAAATTCCAAAAAAAAAAAAAAAAAAAAAAACTCATATGAAATGGGAGAACATCATCTGATTCCTCCAATCCTTTCCAAAACTGGGTTCATCACATCACTTGCCAAGAGACTGATCGATCCATATATGTCTCTCTCAATGACAAAATTTTTTCTTCTTTTTTTTCTTCTTCTTCACGGCCGGTTTCTCTATCACGTCCGTTCTTCTGCCCCTGCTGCTTCCCTCCTCCTATGTTATTATTATTTTCTCTCAAACTCACCTGTAGTCCCAAACTCAGTACTGCTGTCGTCTGACAGCACCATTTTCCGGAACTTCATAATGTCTGCATTGTATGCACATGTATCGTACATCCCAGATCTGTCTGAACTCGTCGTCATGCCGCTATTGCTGGATACCACGCTCGTGCCACCCTGCAACCCCGTCTTTCCACCCTCGTTCAAATCCTCTAGTGATGAATTTCCCTCCAGCGCTCGTACAATCTGCACCGTACCACCATTTCATCCATTATATATATACCTAGTAACGGAGATCGAAAATAGGCTGAAAATGTGAAAACAAGGAATGTTGTGTCTTAGTATAATCAAATGAATTAATGGCTATTAGTGCAGACTCACAACAATAGAGTCATCCAGAGGTTAACATAGCAATCCCTGTGTATCCGTGTATCCGGAAATACCCGTGCAGACTTACAACAATAGTGTGGCCCCCAAGGTTAGCATAGTAATCTCCATCTCCGTGCATCCCGGAACAGAGATTGGAACTTACCCAACATACTCACAGTAATAAAGGGACAATAAAGTTATCAGACAATCTCTGTCTAATCTATGAATTTATGTAGTTCTCCTTTAAATAGTAATAGATCATGACCACTCACTTGTTATGCCGTAGAACCGTGTCCACCTTGTTCATAATTACTGAACTCTATGTTCATAATTATAAAATTCTATGTTCATAATTTTTGAATTCTATATTCACAATTACAAAACTCTATGTTCATAATTTTTGAACTTCATATTCACAATTATTGAACTCTATATTCACAATTACTAAACTCTATGTTCATAATTATAAAACTATATGTTCATAATTTTTGAACTCTATCACAATTATGACAGTTTTGAAATTGTGTCACGTGATTTCACAACATAATTTGTCCCGATTTGTGGTAAATATTAAATCAAGACTAAATCACCATGACAACCTTATGGGGAGGGAAATCATATATTCATATGATAGTGAAGTCATACATACCTGGCTCATCTTGGGGCGCCTTCTAGCAGAATGGCGAACACTAGCAGCAGCACATGACACCATACGAGCCATCTCATTGGAGTTATAGTTGCCTTCAAGCCGTTTGTCTACTAATTCATCATAGTTCCCATTCTGAATAGCCGTGGCAAGAAGTGGTCTAGCCTGCATGCACATACACAGTAGTAGTATAAACACACACATTATACTAAGCTGTCTTCCATTTCACCACCTGGGAAATGAAAGATTCAGAAAACAAACCCATTCTACTAAGCTGTCTTCCATTTCACCAGTAAGATCCACAGGTTGGTTCCCGGTTATAAATTCTAAAAGCATCACTCCAAATGAGAAAACATCTGATCTATCTGTTAGCTTTCCGCTTGATGCATATTCTGGAGCCAAGTACCTGCAGATCAGATCAAAACCCCATACACTCTCCTTAAATCCATAATATATACTCAATCACTAAATACTGTCAAATTCTAGCTAGGTAGCAGTAGCATACCCGAAGGTTCCCATGACGCGAGTAGAGACATGAGTGTTGTTGTCATTAGAGAGTTTAGCCAATCCAAAATCTGCAACCTAGAATATTTCTAAGAGTGCAGTAAGTCACATGTGATTATTGAAGCAGTCAATTGCTATATATATATATATCATGAATATATTGCTGATTAGTTCTCTAATGTTACCATGGCTTCAAAGTTCTCATCAAGTAAAATGTTTGCAGCCTTGATGTCACGGTGGATAATCCGAGGATGGCCTACATTTACAAAACTTAATGAGGAGGGAGAGAGAGTCAGATTAAGAGAGAGAGAGAGAGAGAGGTAGTTATCATACAATCTTCATGGAGGTAAGCTAATCCCTTAGCAGATCCCAGAGCAATTTTGAGCCTGGTTGCCCAGTCCATGACAGGTCGACCCTTTCCTTCAATAACACACATTTGGAATATATAGAAATCAAATTTCAAAGACAAATAGGTACATACATAAACCAAGTATTGATAACAAGAAATCTGTAAAAATGATCAAGAGCAAATCAGAACTACAATTGCTACACCTATGCATTGAAATAGAGGGAACAATTTAGATAGGAAAATAAATATGGCAATACTAGTCCCCCGGCTAGATCAGTTGGTTCAACCGATGATCATACTAAAACCTTGATTCAACAACAGTTCGAGACTTTGTGGTTCAAATCCCATCAGGTGAGAACTTAAAAGACTAATGGGGTAACTCGCGATTTACCTCCTCCAGTCTAGAGTTAATCTGGGTAAGCTGGAAACCTAATGTATCAAAAAAAAGAAGAAGAAGATGGCAGTAGTGAAATTTACCATGGAGGTGGAATTCCAAGGTCTGATTGGGAACATATTCATACACCAACATCCTCTGCCGCTCACTGATGCAATATCCAACAAGCGACACAAGATGCCGATGGTGAACTCTGCTAATGATCTCAACTTCGGCCTGGAATTCTCTTTCCCCTTGTCCACTACCCGATTTCAAGCTCTTGATTGCCACTACCTTTCCCGAGGGCAGCACACCTTTGTGCACATACCCGAACCCACCTTGCCCCAACAAAAATTCCCGAGAGAATCCCTTGGTGGCTGCAGCAAGCATGTCATAGCTGAATTGGCTCTGGTTGAACCCGCCCATACTCATTTGTGGCGACACGCTGCTGTTTGATGGAGGCGGTGCACCCCATGCATTGCTTGGAGGCATCATTCCACCTGGTTGCTGAGAGAGCTTAACTACATGATCCATGTTTTGTCCTCCTCCTTGCCATTGTGCAGAAGGGGGGGCGTTGTAATACATGTTTTCACCTGTCAGTCAATTTAACAAACACGTCGTATGCATTATTCTTCAAACATTTCTTTTGAATGATATTGTTTTGTCTGATCACAAATTTAAATTTAAATTTAGATATAGTTTGATACCTTTATATGGATTTTGACGATCCATATAATGCACCTGTTTCTTCTTCCTTCTTCTTCTTCTCTTACAGCATATGCAAAGAATTATAATGGCAATAATCAATACTCCCGACGCGACAAGTCCGGCTATGACTCCCGTATCTAAAGATGATGAATCTTTGGAATCGGACTTGTCAGACGAGGATCGCTTGGAGCGTGATCTGGAAGATGGAACTTTGTCATTAGAGTTTGATGAATCTGTCGACGGAGGAGAAAATATCGGCACGGAAGAAGAACCGCTAGAAGAGCTATCCGGTTCCGGCGAAGAACCATCAGATGGCGTAGACGAATCTCCAGATGAATTGGGGGAAGAATAATCGGAGGTGTCTCCAGATGGAGCGGAAGGGGGAGAAGACTCTACGGGAGGCGGTGAGACCGGCGGAGACTCATCCTGCGATGGGGATTCACCTGAACCGCCAGGAGCATCCATGGTAGTTTCCGATCGCAGATGAATTTCCGGCCAAAAATAAATTTGATCAGCTCAATCAAGACGGCCGGAAACTGAAATATCTCCCGTAACAGCTCGTCTCCACAACTCTCAATGCCCTTTAATTTCCCCAAAACAAACACGCCATTGGAAACCACCATTAGACTAATTACATGCAGCGCAGCTATATATATTTCAATTCAATCCTTTACAGTATATACATACTTCTCCCAAATAAGTAAGAAGCATGCAAAATCATTAACAGCAAATTAAATTATCAACAACTAACTTTATATATATAAACAACTTCACATGCATGCATATATACAGGATAATTAACAGTACACTTAAAGCTTAAACTATATCATGTTTAAACAGCTAGCATTGGTATGTAGAGAGAGAGAGAGAGAGAGAGAGAGACCTGAATGAAGAAAAAATTAAAGTGGGAAGAGATGTTGTTCTGAAAGAGGGTGGAGAGAGAGAGAATAGGTGTATGTGTTTTTCTCATCTTAGAAAAGCCTGTCCTACAAACAAGGGATCGGAGTCTCTTCTTCTCTTGTCTACCCAATAATCTTTGGCTTTCAAAAACTCCATCCTAATTTCTTGGGTCTCAATCTGTTATTCCTTTTACCACATCCTCTCTTCTTCACATATATCTTTCTGCCCCCTCACTTTACAAATATGCACGCATGCATATATATGCTGCATTACATTTACATGTGACATTATTATTATTATTATTATATATATATATATATATAAAAGTTCAGATGCATTTAAGTGTTTTCCGTGCGGGTGATTAATGTGTGTAAGTTTTGTATTTAATGTGCGTGAGTTTTGTGCTTAATGTATAATGTTTAATGTGCGTGAGTTTTTTACTTAATGTGCGTGAGTCTTGTGCATGATGTGCGTGGGTTTTGCGCTTAATGTGCGTGAGTGTGTACTTAATGTGAGTTGTTAAAACTTTAAAGTACATGAGTTTTATGCTTAATGTGCGTGAGTTGTGTGCTTAATGTGCGTGAGTCGTGTGCTTAAGGTGCGTGAGTTTTGTACTTAATGTACGTGAGTGTATACTTAATGTGAGTTGTTTTTAAAACTTAAGGTGCGTGTATTTTTGTGCTTAACAAGCGTCAAGTTTGTGCTTAAAATACGTGAGACTTGTACTTAACATGCGTGAAATTGTGTTTTGGAGGTGTTTTGTTTGTGTGCTTAATGTGCGTGCGTTGTGTACTTTAAGTGCGTCAGATTAATGCTTAACGTGCGACCACCCGCACAACCGCATGGGAAGCCTCAGATCCCTTCCCTATAGCCTCAAATGCACCTGATTCCTTCCCGTGCGGTTGTGCGGGTGGACGCACGTTAAACATTAATCTGACACACTTAAAGTACACAACACACGCACATTAAGCACACAAACCTCATGCACGTTAAGCACAAGCCTCACACATGTTAAGTACAAGTCTCACGCATGTTAAGCACAAGCCTCACGCATGTTAATCACAAAAACACACGCACCTTAAATTTTAAAAAACAACTCACATTAAGTACACACTCACGCACATTAAGTACAAAACTCACGCACCTTAAGCACACGACTCACGCATATTAAGCACAAAACTCACGCACATTAAGCATAAAACTCATGCATTTAAAGTTTCAACAACAACTCACATTAAGTACACACTCACGCAATTAAGCACAAAACTCACACACCTTAGGCACAATACTCACGCACCTTAGACACAATACTCACACCTTAAGTACAAAACTTACGCACATTAAGTACAAATCTCAAGCACATTAGGCACAAGACTCACGCACATTAAGTACAAAACTCACGCACATTAGTCAACCGCATAACCGCACGGGAAGCACTCACTGGAACCTTATATATATATATATATATATATATATAAATGCTGACATGTCTTTGTTTGACTATATTCTTCCCAAAATATTAAATCCTCAACCATAAGGACCCCCCACATCCCGATCGGTACGTCAGAGCATAACCGCACGGGAAGCACTCACTGGAACCTTTCACTATATATATATATATATATATATGCCGACATGTCTTTGTTTGACTATATTCTTCCCAAAAGGTTGAATCCTCAACCGTAAGGACTCCCCACACCCCGATCGGTACGTCAGAGCATATGAGAGGATGTAGCCCAGTGCGGACTTGTTTAGTTAGAATACAATCCTTATTCTACCCTAGATGAAAAAGAAAATCCTTAATAAATACTAACATAATGTAATTAGACAACTCAGCTACAAAATATTTCTTAAAATTAACGAATTGACATGCTCTAACGACAACTCAGCTACAAAATATTTCTTAAAATTAACTAATTGACATGCTCTAACTTGGATAAGTATATATATATATATATTAACGAACATGGAAACTAGCGCCCATAATAACTTGGCAAAAAAAAAAAAACCCACTATTACTTATTTACAAACATTAAAAAAGAGTTCAAAATTCAACAAGACACTTCATATCATCAAAAGACTAAGCAATATAAACATCCTCATCAGTTAGAAATTCCCCTGAACTAAAGATGCCACAATGGAAACTCTTTCCACAATTCAAATATAAAAGAAAGAAAAAAAAATCATCCCCAAATGATAGAAAAACATCATATATTATTCCCTTAACTAGATTGATCATTGTTCAAGCTAGGACCTCAAGAGTTTATGAAAGTGCATGAGATCAACAGAGGGCTGGCAAGCTCAGAGTGAAACAAGGCTATTCACATAGGGCACGCAAATCGTATCATTCAATTCAGCTGGCTGGCTCAGTGCTTTAGTTTCTTTGGATTTGAAATCATAGGAGTATAATTTGTTCCCGCTCTTAACCACTAGAATATCACTGCTTATGGAAACAACTTTGCTGCCAATAGCATCCAACTTCAACACATCAGGGTCAAGAATAACAGGGTGTGGAGTGTCCCACATTTTCGATCTGGATTGAATTTGCATTGTATTTGAGTAGATATTAACCAAGATGCTCACCATCACAGAATGGCTATTGACAGAAACCTTACAAAGCCTTCCATCAAATGTTCCCAGTACACAGTTACTGCCATAAGAATAGCTCTGCAGCAATTGTGATCTATCCTTTGTTAAATCAAAAGAAAGAAGACCACCACTCGCCAGAGTCCAGAAAACAACGCCATTGACATGAACACCAGACCTCGGAGCAACTTTTTTAGCTCCAAAACAAAGCTCCCCAGAAATGTTCCAAGTATTATTATTGGAGGTGTATATTTCAAATTCAGTTGCATCATCAAAATCATCAGATTGGAAGGCACAAATGAGTTTGTACTCAGGTACAAAGTTGAGCAGTGACGGTTCAAATATCAGCACAAGTGCTGGCTCGGATCCATGACAAGCAGTAGGTTTTGGAAGTTTTTTCCATTGTTTTGTAACTGGATTGCACAAATAGTAGTACCCGTTTTCATCTCGTCCTTGGCAACACAACAGTCCATTTGATGAGGCCCTAATGACAACAGGCTCTGGCAGAAAACTCAAAGATGGATCTGGTACACCAGAAGATTTTGGATGAATTGGTATGAAGACGGGAGCATTTCCAGGAGTCTGACAAAAAAGGCCTGATATGCCACGACAACAAAGTGATTGATTATGGTGGAAGAATGGTGCTGAAATCTGGAGCTTCCAGTCTCGACAAACAGCCAGGAATCTGAACAGTGATTTAGCAGGAAGGAATGGAAGAGCTTGTTCTCTAATGATATCCTTAAGATCCATGTAAATCTTACTGTTTGATGCAGTATGAAGGTTTCCTGGCCTTTTTCCTAGATCCATTGTTGCAACCAATAGTATCTCTAGAGATTGATGGGCTACAATAAACACATCAAAGCAACCATATTACTACCAAATCCCATGAACTATAGTATTATCCTCTCCCATTGAGCAATCACTATTCCCAAATACAAAGAAACATCATCACATAGTAACAGCATCATAAAATTGATCAAGATTATCAGTGTTTCATACTTCCGTTAGAAAGAATGTTTCAATGATAACAGAGGCATTTCAGAAAAGTCTTGTAGAATAGATTTATTACGAAAAATTGAGAATGGACTAAATAGGAAATGTGCAAAGGAAATCACACCATGTAAAACCATTGGTAAAGCTAGAAATCACATAACCATTAAAAAAAAATAAAGTACATCTATAAGAAGCTATGCAGAAGAAAATTGGATTAAACTAATCTATAAGCTTAAAGCTTATCTATACAGTAGCATTCTTTCACTATCCCTATTCATTTGCTTCATGTGAAAAAGGCCCAATTCAGATTAAAGAACTTCATTACCTGAATAGATCAGTAGGAGGTAGGAACAGTACATGATAATAATAGGGCATCATCACGACCCATTATAATAGGCAAAAACATAGATAGGTAACAACAATATTTCTCTGGAATTCAACAATTCCCTAAACACTAAACCAAGATATATAATTATATACCCATTGAAATGTTCAGAAACACCATTCTTGAGTCACAGTATAGGGAAGTACTAACATAGAAACGCCAAAACTTGCACAGAATGAGAAAAACAAAATAAAGAATGGTCAGGCACCGAACTGTAGAGCCAAACGCAGCTGTAAATACAAGTCTTAGAAGATCTTACAAGTTTCACAGCCATTCTTTCAAGTTCTCGCAAATTTCAAGTTTCAACAGCAAATTCACGGATCGCAGGTAGTGATTAAGGAGCTTACGTACCTATGAATGATAGCAAGGGCGAGGTATGTATCTGAGAGTGGGGACAGAGGCGTAGCCTAGCCTGCCGCGGACTCTTTTGAGAACCGGAGACCAAGAAGACTGGAGAGTTGCCTGACCTCGTTTTCTTTCCCTTCAAGTTGATTATATATGAGCTTTTTTCCCTTTTTTTTTTTTTTTTTTTTTTTTTTTTTTTTTTTTTTTTTTTTTTTTTTATAGTTAATTACCGATTTGGTCATTCGACTATTAGAATTTCATCATTTTGGTCCTCAATTTTTAAAATTGTCCAATTGCATCATCAATTATGGAAACGTTAACCAAAATGGTTCTCATTCTGTTTTATCATCAAAATGCAAGGGTAAAATAGGAAGTTCCAATATTCTTCATCTTCCCTACAATACCTTTGGTTTCCCTGCCTTCTCTCTAATTTTGCTTCAAACAGCCGCCTTTCAAGCAAAGAAGAAGAGGCCGGTTAGTCCGGCAAACACATCTCAACTGGTAAGCCAACCTCACCAGCCATGGAGATGACGAAACCGCCGGACCCGCTCGAAACAACCACTGAAATTGGCTTCCGTTTCCTGGCAGACCTGCAGTGTGCTGGATTCACGTCGCCACCTCTAGAGCTGCTAAGACTTGTGAACGACGAGGTAACTCCAACGAGCAAACAAACGATTAGCGGTCAACCCAATGTCATCTATCGACCAAATCTATCAAGTAAACAATCTTTTCCAATCCAAAATAATCAAATAGGAATAGTGCTCTCGAAAGGAAATTAGCCACAGCAACTGCCCGATGACAGATATGAACACCGGAACATCGAGGAGGTTCTGGCGACAGCTCTGGACGTACAGACATCGCAACCCACCAACCACCTAAAGCCGACATCTAACTGAAAAAATACGCTGGTCAACGGGGCAGGGATCCACGACGGTAGAATGTGTCCATTAGAAAATGCTCCAGTTCACATCCCATCTCAACACCGCCACTAAACCATCGACACGCTCCCTACGGCCATCGGAGTTCCCAATCGCGAACAAAACCTAGCCACCTCCAACAACAATCCTTTTGTTTTTGGTCAATCAGCTACTCAATTTGTACATAGATCAACGTAGAACACTGATGTAGATTTATGATTTTGGGTCGAAATTTGGACAAATTCTCAACATTTAGTTCATAGTGTTTGCGATTAGGGTTAGGCTTTACGAATTGGGTTTTTTTTTTTTTTTTTTTTCTCTCTTCTATAAACTAAAATGAGAAGGAAATACACACCGAAGAAGACTTAGATAATGAAATTACATTTTTATCCTCCATTTTAACGTCTCACAAACAGCAGTTTCGGTTGATGACCAATTTTGTCAGAAATAGCATAGTCGAGGATACAATCGTACAATTTTGAAAGTCGATGACCAAAGTGATGAAATCCTAATAATCAAGGGACCAAATCGGTGATTAATTCTTTTTAAAAATAAAATAAAATAAACAACTTTCATTAAACTTCAAAATCCAACCTCAAAACATCAATGATACATTTACGGGCGTTTGTTGGGAAGGAATTACAATTTCATTCCATTTAATTCTCACCTAATTTTGAAGGCACGCAAATTCCTTCTTTTGGTTGGAGAGAATTGCAAATTCGTGGAATTAAAATCTCATGCCGCCACATTTCAATTCTATGGATTTTAGGAAAGAAAAAAAAAAAAATAACTATGAGATAAAATTACTCCTGTTTTTTTATAACCTAAAATTGATGTTTAACTTTACAATACTCTCTCATTTTCAACATTTTCAAATAAAAAGTACAAAATTGTGTTGCATACTGCCATGCAACAACCTGTTTAATTTGTATTTTAATTTGCAAGTTTGCATTGCACATAAGCAACAATAAAATTGAAAAAAGAAAATTATGTTCCACTTGTGTAGCCACATCATTCTTTTAGGGATGAGATTAGCGCAAGGGGCATGATTTCTAGAGGACCATTTTCAATAACATTTCTTTTGGTTTGCATTCTTTAACACTTGTGTTAAGAATTGTTTTCTTCCAATTCTATTGTGTCATACCAAAATATTACTTTAAATTTTAGGTTCTATAAGATGTCAATTTGGACTAAGGGTACCAATCTTGTTCTACGGACGGTTTGTCTAATTTTGGTGGTCAGTGAATAAGTGAGATTCATAGGTAATGTGGAAAACCAGTATCCTAAAGCATTAAATTTTTTTGAAAGGTTTTGAATAAAGCTTATATCATGTAGATTAACAAGAAGGTGCAGGTAATAGTAATGTTTGAATAAATCTATCTCTTCAATGAATTTATTCAAGTGTGGATATCCAAGGAGTATATAAGGAGCTTAAGGCATAGGGAGAAGGTTGACAATTAAAACAAATTGAGCTGAAAACCTATTATCTTCTTTGTCCTTGTCCTACTTTAGATGAAAACTAGTGCCCAAACGTCTAAATGGTTCCAATAATAACTAGGAAGTTCATCAAACACTTCATATCATCAAAAGACTAAGCAATATAAACCTTCTCATCAGTTAAAAATACCCCAGAACTAAAGATGCCACAATGGAAACTCATTCCACAATTCAAATATGAAAGGAAAAAAAAAAAAACAAAATCATCCCCAAATGATAGAAAAACATCACACATTATTCCCTTCACTAGATTGATCATTGTTCAAAGTAGGGGCTTGAGAGTTGAGAGTTCATGAAAGTACATAAGGTGAACAGAGGGCAAGCTCAGAGGGAAACAAGGCTATTCACATAGGGCACACATATCTCACCATACGGTTCATCTGGCTTGGTAAGTGGTTTAGTTTCCCTGCTATGAAAATCATAGTAGTATAATTGGTTCCCACTTTCAACTACCACAACATCTCTGCTTACAGCAACAACTTTGGAGGCAAACAAAGGCATATCATGTCGGGGTCAGGACCAAGCACCCATTCATCCCACATTTCAAACTCATCCAAAGTATTTATGTGGATATTAACCAGTTTGGAGACATTGAAAAACACTTCAACCCCATAGATAAAAAACTTACAAAGCATTCCATCAAATATTCCCAGTAACCAGTCAGTGACAGGAGAAGAGCTTTGCAGTAATTGTGACCTATCCTTTGTCAGATCAAAAGAAAGAATGTGGTCACTCTTCACAGGCCAGTAAGCAACACCATTGAGATGAACTCCAGACCTCAGATCAGCTTTTATTGCTCCAAAACAAATCTCCCGAGAAACATTCCAAGAGTTATTTTTGGAGGAGTATATTTCAAATTCAGTTGCATCATCAAAATCAGTAGATTGGAAGGCACAAATGAGTTTGTACTCAGGTACAGAGTTGAGCAGTGACAGTTCAGGTATCACCACAAGTGCTGGCTCAGATCCATGACAAGCAGTAGGTTTTGGAAGCTTTTTCCATTGTTTGTGACTGGATTGCACAAATAGTAGTACCCGTCTTCATTTCGTCCTTGGCAACACAAAATTCCATTTGATGAGGTCCTAATGACAACAGGCTCTGGCAGAAAGCTCAAAGATGGATCTGGTACACCAGCAGATCTTGGATGAATTGGTATGAAGACAGGAGCATTTGGAGGAGTCTGACAAAAAATGCCTGATATGCCACGGCAACAAAGTGATTGATTATGGTGGAAGATTGGTGTTGAAATCTGGAGCTTCCAGTCTTGACAAACAGCACGGAATCTGAGCAGTGATTTAGCAGGAAGTTTTGAAAGGGCTTGTTCTCTAATGATATCCTTAAGATCCATTGTTTCAGTAGGAAGGTTTCCTGGCCTTTTTCCTAGATCCATTGTTGCAACTTGCAACCAATAGTATCTCTAGAGATTGATGGGCTGCAATAAACATGAAACCTTGTGATTATCCACGTCATTTTTGTTTGTTTTTTTCAAAAATGAAACAATAGTTTGCTGATCATCAATATGTTTGAGCTGTTTACCACAAAAAAAAAAAGAAAACATTTCTAATAGTGCAATACTGAACCATCAATATGTTTGAGCTGTTTACCACACAAAAAAGACTACATTTCTAATACAAACTAATAGTGCAATACTGAACCATCAATATGTTTGAGCTGTTTACCACACAAAAAAGACTACATTTCTAATACAAACTTATCCAAGTATAAAATGACTACTCCTCCTCTGAGTCCTCCTCCTCTGAGTCCTCCTCCTCTGAATCCTCCTCCTCCACCAAGCCCAAGTCCTCCATGTAAACTTGGCTCTAATGTACTCCAAGGCACCACGTCTGTATGTATTAACTGTAGCCCATTGCGATCAGTGAGGCGAACTCGAAATCCAGCTTGTTCAATATCATGATATACGCCACCCCAAATGCTAGGTGGTTCACTGTGCAATGTTGTATAAATGAAAATGCACAGAATCTTAAAAATGGTGTCCCTATTGCCGTTTAAATGTTTCTTTAAAATGAAGTGGGCTCTAGCCTCACTATCTGGTAACCCAATGATGGGGATTCTATCCCCATCCATCTCTGGCTCAAATACTATTTTTGTAAGTAAAGCCTTAAAATTCTCCCAGGGAGTGACCAAAGGGTCTATGTTTAACTCAGCTTCAACCCCGGAGACATGTTGAACATTAATATATAGTACTCTATGATTCCGCCACGGGCACAACAGATAGGGGACGCGAGCAAAGCTAGAATCTAGTGAAGATAGAGTCTGCAAATCACTGGTCAGTCTGCAATATCCTTCCCTGAACATGACATGACCTCTAAGCACCTCTGCATCCGCACCTGAACCAAAGGGCCTATACACTACTCGAATAAAAGAGCACGGCAGCTCTTCCTCATCCACTGGCGGCTCTTCAATATCATCATCACTGCTGCTGCTGCTGCTGTCAGTTGATTCTCCTATTTGAAGGTCAGAACGGCCAGTGAACCGGGTTTGGCACAAGTATAAAATCACAAAAGCAACTCCTACTCCGGTAATGGCAATTAGTCCCTGTTCACAATAAAAAGTATAAATACCTATAAACATATGCCACACTCAAACTGGGGAAATTAAGGAAAGCAGACCTTTACGTTTGGGATACCCCTTGCATGACTTGAAGCATCCAGTCTGATTAAAAAATAAAGAAGTGTTAGAAAAGTAGCAACAAGCAGTAGGTTTTGGAAGTTTTTTTCCATTGTTTTGTAACTGGATTGCACAAAAAGTAGTACCCGTTTTCATTTTGCCATTGGCAACACAACAGTCCATTTGATGAGGTCCTAATGACAACAGGCTCTGGCAGAAAGCTCAAAGATGGATCTGGTACACCAGCAGATCTTGGATGAATTGGTATGAAGACAGGAGCATTTGGAGGAGTCTGACAAAAAATGCCTGATATGCCACGGCAACAAAGTGATTGATTATGGTGGAAGATTGGTGCTGAAATCTGGAGCTTCCAGTCTTGACAATCATCACTGCTGCTGCTGCTGCTGTCAGTTGATTCTCCTATTTGAAGGTAAGAACGGCCAGTGAACCGGGTTTGGCACAAGTATAACATCACAAAAGCAACTCCTAGTCCGGTAATGGCAATTAGTCCCTGTTCACAATAAAAAGTATAAATACCTATAAACATATGCCACACTCAAACTGGGGAAATTAAGGAAAGCAGACCTTTACGTTTGGGATACCCCTTGCATGACTTGAAGCCTCCAGTCTGATTAAGAAATAAAGAAGTGTTAGAAAAGTAGCAACAAGCAGTAGGTTTTGGAAGTTTTTTTCCATTGTTTTGTAACTGGATTGCACAAATAGGAGTACCCGTTTTCATTTTGCCATTGGCAACACAACAGTCCATTTGATGAGGTCCTAATGACAACAGGCTCTGGCAGAAAGCTCAAAGATGGATCTGGTACACCAGCAGATCTTGGATGAATTGGTATGAAGACAGGAGCATTTGGAGGAGTCTAACAAAAAATGCTTGATATGCCACGGCAACAAAGTGATTGATTATGGTGGAAGATTGGTGCTGAAATCTGGAGCTTCCAGTCTTGACAATCATCACTGCTGCTGCTGCTGCTGTCAGTTGATTCTCCTATTTGAAGGTAAGAACGGCCAGTGAACCGGGTTTGGCACAAGTATAACATCACAAAAGCAACTCCTAGTCCGGTAATGGCAATTAGTCCCTGTTCACAATAAAAAGTATAAATACCTATAAACATATGCCACACTCAAACTGGGGAAATTAAGGAAAGCAGACCTTTACGTTTGGGATACCCCTTGCATGACTTGAAGCCTCCAGTCTGATTAAGAAATAAAGAAGTGTTAGAAAAGTAGCAACAAGCAGTAGGTTTTGGAAGTTTTTTTCCATTGTTTTGTAACTGGATTGCACAAATAGGAGTACCCGTTTTCATTTTGCCATTGGCAACACAACAGTCCATTTGATGAGGTCCTAATGACAACAGGCTCTGGCAGAAAGCTCAAAGATGGATCTGGTACACCAGCAGATCTTGGATGAATTGGTATGAAGACAGGAGCATTTGGAGGAGTCTAACAAAAAATGCTTGATATGCCACGGCAACAAAGTGATTGATTATGGTGGAAGATTGGTGCTGAAATCTGGAGCTTCCAGTCTTGACAAACAGCAAGGAATCTGAGCAGTGATTTAGCAGGAAGTTTTGGAAGGGCTTGTTCTCTAATGATATCCTTAAGATCCATTGTTTCAGTAGGAAGTTTTCCTGGCCTTTTTCCTAGATCCATTGTTGCAACCAATAGTATCTCTAGAGATTGATGAGCTGCAATAAACATGTCAAAGCAACCATATTACTAACAAATCCCATGAACTATAGTAATCATCTCATTGACCACTAACTATTCCCAACTACAAAGAACATCATCACACAGTAACAGCATCACTAAAATTGACCAAGATTTGAAGTGCTTCTTACTTTCGTTAGAAAGAATGTTTCAATGATAACAGAGGCGTTTTAGAGAAGTCTTGTAGCATAGTTTATTATGACAAATTGAAATGCACTAAATAGGAAATGTGCAAAGGAAATCACACCATGTGAAACCATTGGTAAAGCAAGAATTCACATAACCATAAAAAATGCAGACCTATAAGAAGCTACACAAAAGAAAATTGGATTAAACTAATCTCTAAGCTTAGATCTTATCTATACAGTAGCATTCTTTCACTATCCCTATTCATTTGCTTCATGTGAAAAATGGCCAATTCAGATTAAGAACTTGACCTGAATAGATCACTAGGAAGTAGGAACAGTACATGATAACCTAGACTAGAAAACATGTAGTGTACATGATAACCTAGACTAGATACAAATAAAATTAATGATACCATATTGATTTTTTTTAATAAATCTATAAATACATATAGTGAATTAAACACACACACATATATATATGAGAACATAAATTATTACTATTATTAAAATTTGTAAGAAGCAACTAGCTTGACCTGTATTCACCAAAGAAATATATTATTTTTGAAAACCTGAAGCAACAAACCTAATTTGCATTTATTATATGCAGGCCCCGGGCAAGGGCCCAGCCCGCCCTTGTCCAAGGGCGGGCATGCTCACTAAGTAGAAAAAAATATTTAATATTAAAATTCAAAATACACTCAAAACAATACAAAGAAAAAATATTTATTTATATACAATCCAAACAAATAAATACCAAAAGAACTGTAACCTGCAGTGACAATCACTAAGAATAGTTGAAAAAAATTATAAATTATAATAGTGAATTAAACAGATGCCATGAAGGCATAATTGTATAAATAGGCCAGAAATCACAAACTCATGAACTGCTATTCATGGCAGAATTGTCTTAAAAATCCACCAACATATACCCAAAGTAAATGAAGAGATGCCATACATGCATAATAGTCAAAAACAGTCAAAATATGAACACTACTTTGATGAAAACTCATCAAACAGGCATCTCTTAATTGCTCCATTATCAGTAACATCTCCGCAATAAACATATAGCCAACAACAACTAAAGGGCTCTCTACTTCATCAATGGTCAAATATTCCTTAAAAACATAGAATACATATTAAAATAAATAATAATGAAAGTAAATTACACAGTCAGGAATACAAACCTCATCAGCCAAAGTATCCTCTTCATTTATCACAAACTTTGAACTTCATCCAAGGTATATTACTGTATTGTGGTAAAATACTAAAATGGGTCCTAAAACTATATAGGGGTTTGAAAAATGTTTTGTTTAACTAATTTTAACTATTTGACTTGATAGAGGCCTCAAGATGTTTTCCTCATCACCAAACTTGCTGACACCCATATTACCCAGAGGATGATAGTTGAGAGTGAGAGTTAGTTTTCTTCCTTTATGGTCCTCCCCCTTTTCTCATCCCAAAAAAAATGTAAAAATTTATATGTTTTTTAATGGTTTGAGCTTTGGGATGAGTTAGACATGATTGTTTAGAATAACCTTATTATAGGCATATTTTAACCAAATTAGTTCAATTTAGTTTAAATAATAACTAGATAAATGACGGACTGGCCAGGACTATGTGGTCCAATGGTACCCGGGTTGGACTTCCATTTGGAAGATTATGAGTTCGAGCCTCAGTGGAGGCGTTATTGGTTCTTTGTGTTTCAGTAGGTTGAGAAAGTATATGGAGGCGTTATTGGTTCTTTGTGTTTCAGTAGGTTGAGAAAGTATATGGAGGCGTTATTGGTTCTTTGTGTTTCAGTAGGTAGAGTAAGATAAAAATTTGAATAAATATCTTTGAACACATTTTTCATCAAAATGAATCCTTTTTTCCTTTGATTGAAATAAATTTTTTTTGTTGATTTCATTTTCTATTGATAGCCAAATAATGAAAAATTCAACAAATGTTGATTTCATTTTCTATTGATGGTCAAATAATGAAAAATTCAAAAAATAACATTAGGAAGTGATTGGATAAGTTCTCAACGTTTTACAATTTTTATACCTAATGCATTATCTCTTTGGATATGAAAAAGGTTGATAAAGAGGGGTAACACCACCTAGAAACTAAATATGTTAACACATAATGCTTATGTGTATGTTGTTGACTTGACTATCATATCAAATTTAAAGTTTGAAAACTTTTTAAAATGATAGCCAAGTTATAAAAGATTAGGGTGCAACATGAAAAATCAATTTTAGTTCATAGTGTGGAACGACATTTTAACCTAATTATATTAAAATTATTTTTTCACGCACAAAGCGCAAATGAGATAATGTTCAATTATTTTTAAATAAGTAATTCAAAGTATATCAATTCAATATTATATATGAGATGTTTATATATAGGTAATTGAATGTTGTTCCAGTTAAGGATATGTAGATACTATTAAACATTTTTAAAAAATGAAATATAAAATATTTTTTTTAAAAAAATACTAAATAGATTATATTGTTTAGGAATAAGGGTCAAATAGGCTATTGAACTACACACTAAAATACAATTAGGTCATCCAACTAAAAAAAGCTACAATTAGATCCTTGAACATGACAAATTAAAACAATTAAACCCAATGTGACCTATTGACCTGGTAATTAGATGACATGGCGGTAAACAAATTAATTTTTTGAAAAAAAAATATTTTAATTATTTTAAATTTAAAGAAAGAAAGAAAGAAAAAATCTCTGGCCGCCCCTTCACCCTCCTTTGTGGACCTGTTTTCGTCTCCGAAGAGCCACGAACACCATTTAGAATTCTTTCAAGCACTGAAGTAGTACTGTGACTAGAGTCCCTCCTTGATTCCATTACTCAAACCCAAAGCTTCATGGGAAAATGGTCTTTGATTAGAACAAAGTTCTCAGCTCTTCAGACTCACATCTCTGATCTCTCCTCCGCTGCCAATGACAACCCTCTCTCGGCGGACCTTCTCCGGTCACTCTCCGCCGCCATTTTCGACGGGCTGTCTCTTCAGTTCGTTGCCACAACCCCAACCCTCCCCAGAGGGAAGCTTAAGACGCAGAATGACATCGACTCCTTGCTCGCAAAAATCGATAGCCTTAGCAGGGACCTCGTGGTTCTTATCAAGAGCGGCGTTCTCTGCGAAAACGACGTCGTTTGGTTGAGTAGTTATTCGAAGAGGGAGACGATTAGGGCGGAGACGACGAATCTGATCACTCGGCTCCAGATCGGGACCACTGAGTCAAAAAACACGGTGCTCGACTCACTCCTCGGACTCTTGTAGGAGGACGATAAGAGCGTGTTGGTCGCGGTGTCGAAGGGAGTCGTTCCGGTGCTCATCGGCCTACTCGATTCCACTTCTTCGCCGGCGATTAAGGAGAAAATCGTCACCGGTGAAAATTTCTACCGTCGGCTCGAGCAAGCTATTATTATTATTATTATTATTATTATTATTATTATTATTATTATTATTATTATTATTATTATTATTTAAGTTTTTTATTTAAAAATTATTAAAATGTTTTTTTAAAAAAATAATAAATAAAAAATTTGGTAACCACCATGTTATTTAATTACTTGGTCAACAAGTCACTTTGGGTTTAATTGCTTTAATTTATCATGTTTAGGGGCCTAATTGTAGCTTTTTTGAGTTGGATGACCTAATTGCATTTTAGTGTGTAGTTCAATGACCTATTTGACACTTATTCCTATTGTTTATTTAACCCATAATAAAATTTAGTGTCCAAACGTCTCAATGGTTTCCATAATAACTTGGTACAAAAGCTCATTGCTTCTTTACAAGCATTAAAAAAGATTTCAAAGTTCAACGGACACTTCATCATGAAAAAACTAAACAATATAAACCTCCTCATCAACTAAAAATACCCTTGAACTAAATATGCCACAATGGGAACATTTTCCACAATTCAAATATATTAAAAAAAAAAAATCATCCCCAAATGATAGAAAAACATAACACATTATTCCCTTCCTCCCAAAAGATTAATGTAAATCATGGTAACTCAGCTGAACCATAGAGGCTAGACATTTGCTTACTGCACACAAGGAGTACCCCTCACTTCTTTGAAAAGTTATTCCCACACTGTCGCTGGTGAGACTCAATCCCTGTTCATTCTTCCCAAACTTCATCCCTATGACCAGCTGAACTGTCCATGTGGGCCACATTATTCCCTTATAAAAGTAGATGAGGTGAAGAGAGGGCAAGCTGAGAGTGAAACAAGACTATTCACATAGGGCACACATATCTTATAAGATGATCCGGGTGGCCGAGGAGGGCTCAGTAGTGTTTCAGTTTTCTTGTGTTCAAAATCATAGGAGTAAAATTTGTTCCTTCTCTTAACCACCACAATATCTCTGCTTACAGCAACAACTTTGGTGTGCTCATCCAAAGGCATATCAGTGTTGTAAGTATCAAGCACCATTCTATCTTTCCACATGTCATAGTCTGATAGTCATAGCGACCCAAAATTATATGATCCAAAGGCCTTGTATTTATGTACGTGGATATCAACCAAGACTCAGACAAACATTTCTTCCCCAAAGATAAAAACCTTACAAAGCCTTCCATCAAATGTTCCCAGTATGCAGTCAGTTCCAGGCTTAAAGCTTTCCAGGAATTGTGACCTATCCTTTCTTAGATCAAAAGAAAGAATGCCACCAGTCGTTATATCATGCATTATGGCGCACAGATGTAAATTTTCCGTTTTGCTAATTTGAGACAAGAATTAAAGGCGCGAGTAGTCTAAACTTTATACAATGTAAATTTCATGTTTTGCTCTCTAATTTGATGGCCAAGTTCACGTCTAACTAACGAGAGATCAATTTGGCTTAAAATCTAATAGTTGGAGGACCAATTTGGATTCAATTAAAAATCATATGACCAATTTGAAAAAAGGCCATAATTGGAGGATCATTTTGGGAATTTCCTCTTATGGTAAAATGGGGCCTACAAAATATATATGGGTGTTTGGAAAATGACTTACCGTCAATGTCTTGTTTAACTAATTTTAATTGTTTGATTTGGTAGAGGCCTCAACATGTTTTCCTTGCCACGGAACTCGCTGACACCTATCTTATGCGGGAAAAATGTTGGCCAGATTACTCAAAACATGATAGTGTTTTTTTTTTTTTTTTTTTTTTTTAGAATAAGGTTCAAATTGGCCACTGAACGTAACCTGAAAATGCAATTAGGTCACTGAACGAAAAAAAGTGCAATTAGGCCACTGAACACTCCAAAAAGTGCAATTAGGCCAGTGAACACTCCAAAAAGTGCAATTAGGCCAGTGAACACTCCAAATGTATGCAATTTCACCGAATAGCAGGTTACCATCAATTTTAGCAGGTTACCTGCTTACGTGGCAGCTGAGGTGGCATTTTTAATAATTTTTAAATAATTTTTAATAATAGATTTTAAAAAAATTATTACAAAAAATAAACCCCGTCATTTAAAAAAAAATACATTTTTTAAAAAATTTATTATTAAAATTTATTAAAAAGTATTTAAAAATTATTAAAAATGTCAACTCATCTGTCACGTAAGCAAGTAACCTGCTAAAATTGATGGTAACCTGCTATTAGGTGAAATTGCATACATTTGGAGTGTTCAATGGCCTAATTGCACTTTTTTTTTTTTTCGTTCAGTGGCCTAATTGCATTTTTAGGTTACGTTCAGTGGCCAATTTGAACCTTATTCCTTTTTTTTTTTTTGGAAATACAAAGGGAGGGGGGGAAATCTCAGGTGGTCAAAAAACAAAAAACACAACCTAAGTCGTCTCAAGAATGAGACGCGACCTCACAACACCCAGAGGATGATAGTTGAGAGTTTTCTTCCTTTATGCAATGGGTTCTTCCCTCCTTTTCTCATAAAAAAAAAAAAATTAAATGTTTTCTTAATGGTTTGGGTTTTGGGATGAGCTAGACCAAGATTTTTATTTTTTAACACAACCTTATCATATTCATATTTTAACCAAATCAGTTTAATTTAGTTTAAATAATAACTAGACAAATGACGAATTAACTTGTCTATTTGACACCACTAAAAGTGAGAAAGAGAGATACATGAGCGTGAGATAAAATTTTGAAAAATGTTTTTTGAGTAAATATCTTGGAACATATTTTTCACTAAAATGGATCATTTTTCTTTTGACCAAAATAAAATTTTTTGTTAATTTCATTTTCTATTGATGATCAAACAATGAAAAACTCAAAAAATGATATTCGGAAGTGATTTCATAAGTTTCCATCTCATGGGATAGGAAAAAAGTTGAGAAGAGGGGTAACACCACCTAGAAACTAAATATGTTAACATGTTATGCTTATGTGTATGTTATTGACAAGGCTATCATATCAACTGTAAAGTTTGAAAACTTTTTTTAAAAATAGCCAAGTTATAGGCAAGAACATTAATTATCCGGATATAAATTGGACTATGAGCGGATTAAAATATCATTCAAGTTGATATCATTTAGCAACATATGTTATTAGCCTATTAGGTAGTAGTTTAGTAATAGATAGATAGATATTGTTGGTTAGTAGAATTAACTAAGTACAATGTACACGTATTAGGAAGCGTGTAACGTTTTGATAGTAATTTTATTAGTTGATTGTCTTCATTTACTAAATATACATGGTCACAAGATAGTTTATATTCTTTTCGTTCCATTTTATATATCTAATTTGATGAAAAAAATTTAACTCAATCTATTTATAATTCAATTTATACATTTAGTAATTATATTAAAATCTATTAAATTAAACATGTACTAAAATAAAATATAAAATAATTTTAATTTTTTTTTGTTTATTTAATCCATGAATAATAAAAATATGAATAAAATAAGACCAAAAAATGAAATTGTTCATTGTAATTAGAGAACTTAGCTATGAAATATTTCATCAAATAAAGTAGACAGAAAGAGTGATTGAGTTATGAGTACAACCAGAAACCATGAATAGTCCTTGTCCTACCTTAGATGGAAAAGAAACTATTTTTTAAAGGCTTAAGATAATGTAATTAGACAACTTAACAACATAATATTGTTGAAATAAACTAAAAATCTATTATCTTCTTTGTCCTTGACCAACTCTAGATGGAAACTAGTGTCCAAAAGTCTCAATGGTTCCCAGAACAACTTGGTACAAAAACCCACTGCTTCTTTACAAGCATTAAAAAAGATTTCAAAGTTCAACAGATACTTCATATCATAAAAAGACTAAGCAATATAAACCTTCTCATCAGTTCAAAATTTCCCTCAACTAAAGATGCCACAATGGAAACCATTTCTACAATTCAAATATAAAAGAAAAAAAAAACCATCCCCCAAATGATAGAAAAACATCACACAGTATTCCGTTAACTAGATTCAAACTAGGAGCTTGAGAGTTTATGAAAGTACATGAGGTGAACAGAGGATTGAAACGTTAGCAAACTTGGGTTCAGTGGCCCGGGGTGCACTAGTTGGTTTGCCATAACTGTATCAAAAGGGACGTTATGCCATGGAACCGTGTTCACCATTCATGGTGAACAGAATGGTGAACACGGTTCCAACGGTGTTAGTACACCGTTATCTTTCTTCTTTTTTCTTCTTCTTCTTCTTCTTCTTTCTTTTTTTTTTTTTTTTTTTTTTTTTTTTTTTTTTAATTGCGTGACTTTTCTTCTTTATTTTCACATTTTGCGGTTTCACTTTAATTTGAGGTGAACAAAGATTTCGAACATTCATAAATTATGAATTCATGCCTGCACATTCACTTTGGAACCATGCCTACACATTCCCGTCCGAAATCACGGACATTCATAAATTATGAATCCATGCCTGCACATTCACTTTGGAACCATGCCTACACATTCACTTTGGAACCATGAGATTATGAATTTTCTGTTATGAGATTATGAATTTTCAGTTATTAGATTATGAATTTTTTGTTATGCGATTATGAATTTTCTGTTATGAGATTATGAATTTTCATGACATTCATAATTTCGGACATTCATAAATTATGAATTCATGCCTGCACATTCACTTTGGAACCATGCCTACATATTCCCGTCCGAAATCACGGACATTCATAAATTATGAATCCATGCCTACACATTCACTTTGGAACCATGCCTACACATTCATTTTGGAACCATGAGATTATGAATTTTCTGTTATAAGATTATGAATTTTCTGTTATGAGATTATGAATTTTCAGTTGTGAGATTATGAATTTTCTGTTATGCGATTATGAATTTTCTGTTATGAGATTATGAATTTTCATAAA